GCACCAGCAACGCCAAGAGCTAGGGGAAAAGTCTTCCCTCCTGAGGTCACCGCCTGCCTACGTAGCTGGCAATGGCCTGGAGGCTGCAGGCAGCGCCGCCGCATGTTTCCCTGTGTGTGTTTCTGTTACTTTTATTTTTCACTTCAAGCTGCAATACTGTTCTGATCCTAGGTGGATCTTAATCCATCATCAAATTAATTTCCATTAAATAGACATTTGGACTGGCTGAAGCAATTTTGGTATCTGCAGAAGGAAATTAGTTTGATAAATGGAAATGAGAATTATCTTCTAGGCCGAGGCAAGAGATCTAGGATCATCGCCCTGCACCTTGGCTGGCGCTACCCCGTGAGCACAGGTCGCGCATAAAACTCTTACGTACCCAGAATGCCCACAGATGGACTTAGACATCACACACACACACACACACACACCCCACCCCCGCAATGTTTCCCCCTGAAACACAACTTAAATACGTCTTGTGTTGCTTTGGGTTCCTCCCAGAAGCAGACACTGAGCCAAGGTTCCAGGTGATTCCAGGAAACACTAGTGGGCAGAAGGGAAGTCGGCCAGGGTCGGGGGCGGAGGGGCATCAGCAGAGTTTGCTTCCCAGCAGGGGCCACCAGAGCCACTAAAACGAATCCCACTGGGGAACTCTCGGACCACAGAGCTGTCCTCGCCGGGGGCAGGCACGCTAGGCTTTTGTACACTCCCCCCACCCCCAGCCCCTAATGGAGGGGAAGGGCGGTGCTCCAGCGGCTCCTCATGCTTCTGACCTGTGGTGCTGGGGTGCAGCAGAGACGCAGGGCAGGCAGCGGGGAGCCAGGCTGCCGTGTGCCCCGGTGGTAAGGACGAGGGCAGGTATGCAGGACCTGGTACCTGCCCTGTCTCTTCCTGAAACTTCTCAGTAAGACTAACTATCTCTTCCGCTTCTTCTAGAATGTATCAGGCTGCTCATGTCATTACACAGAGACTCCCAGGCAAGGACGCGAGGCCCCTGGAGGGCAGGGAGGCGCGGCGACTTGCGGGCCCCCCGCTGGCGGGAGAGAGGGTGTAGCGCCTGCGCTCCCTGACACGCAGCCTCAGTACCCAGCTCCTGCTGAAGCCCCATTAGGGCTATGAAGAAGCCTCGGACACAGGAGGTTTCTCAGGGTTCTGGTGGCTATTTTTCTTTTCAAAGGTAAAGAGAAGAAATCTAGGCCACTTTATGGAATTAAAAATATAATGCTCTAAATAAGCGTATAGGTCCAACGGTGATCAGTACTGCAGGAGAAAAACACAGCAGAGGAAGGGGGCAGGGTGTGCTACTTGGGAGCAGGGCTGTGGGAGGGCCCTCTATGTATGTACGTAACTATATATCAATCCGTGTCTTCCTTACCCTTTAGTAATTCACGTTCTAGGATCCAGTGCATGAATGAGTCACGGCCACTTTGTAGCAGCAAAAGCCTGGCAATGATCCAGACGTCCCTCTACATAAGATACATTTATACATTTGTGTTAGGCACTGTTCTGAGCTATAGAAATATTAACTCCTTTAACCCTCAACAACAAACCTAGTAAGTGGATAATGTCGTTATTCCCTCTTTCAGAAGAGGACACTGAGGAAAAGAAATGAAGACCAAGCTAACAGAGAAGAGGCAGAGTCAGAACCTGAACCCAGGCTGCCTGGCTTCAGGGTCCAGACCTGGATGAAGAGCTGCCTCCCTGTCTTGGGAGGGACTAATTATGGTTCCAAGCCCTGGTCGGTGGGGCCCAGTGCATCCCACAAAGCGAAGGGTCACCGATTGATGCCCGCTGAGGGCACATGCAAGGTCGCAGGTTCAGTTGAGAGTCAACTGATTGACGTTTCTCTCTCAACTAGATGTCTCTCTCCCTTTCATCCCTCCCTTCCCCTCTTTCTTAAAAAAAAAAAAAAAAATTGGTTCCAACCCTGCTGTGGAATTCTATGGAGCTGCTAAAAAGAATGGGGATAGTCTACACGTATTGATATGTAAGTATTTCTAAGATACAAACCCACAATATCAAGGTATTGACCAGTATGAACAGTATACTACATTTATTTGTACACCGAACAGGGCAAGAAAACAAATAAGCACTTTACTATGCAAACAGTATTTCTGGAAAGGTCATGCAAAACTGGTAGGGGCACTTTTGGGGAGAGGAACTGGGAGACTGAAAAATGTTCAAGCCCTAACTTCTCGCTTGGTTTTAATTGTTTACACATGTATTATCTGTTTTAGTAAACATAAAAGAAAAGAAGGAAATAGAACTTCTCCCACTAGAACAATGGAAAATGCCATCTGAATATTTCAGAACTTACATTACCTTACCATTCCAGGTGAGTGTTCAAGACCAAAGGTGAGTGAGTACTTCTGTCTGTCACGTGGCCTTCATTTCTTTCTGCCAGTTGGTCATGTTATTTTATCAAATTGTGAAATGCACTAATTCATGTGTAAAATTTAATGAAAATAATTGCAAATGTTTTCAAGACTGTAATGATTTTCAGCATTTCCTGACTTTGTACACAAGTCTTTGAAACAAAGAGAGGTAGGCACTGTTTCAAACCACCTGGTGAAATCACACTAGCGCCACGGTCCGTACCTGTCCTGCCGCCTGGGGACAGGTACACAACAGATCTCCTATTCCTTTAGTTCTGCAGCATTCATTCAAAAAACACTTCATTTCTTCCTAGTTTACTTGAATACGTTTAAGTATCTTCCCTTCACAAAAAGAACATGTCCTTCGGCCCTGGCCGGCGTACATCAGCCCTGGCTGGCGAGGCTCAGTGGACTGAGTGCCGGCTGGAGAGCCAAAGGGTCGCCAGTTGGTTCCCAGTCAGGGCACAGGCCTGGGTTGCGGGCCAGGTTCCCAGTTGGGGGTGCACAAGAGAGGCAACCACACATGGATGTTTCTCTCCCTCTCTCCTTCCCCCCTCCTCTCTAAAAATAAATAGAATCTTTAAAAAAGAAAACAACTTGTCCTTTTCATGGAGAGGCAGACATTGCTGAAAATGTTAAAATTTTAGGGCAACTGTGTTCTCATAATTAGGTTTCCTATATAAAATGAGAGAGGATAAAAATACATTTAAGCAAATAGTGGAAACCACTTGCTTATGGTTTCTTACTCTGCACAGAAAAAAAAAAAAACCGAGTTAATTCTGTTCGTTAAAGAATTGCTCAATTAAGCAAACCAAAATAGTTTCAATTAAAGATATAAATTTCTTGAACAGGGCAAAATTTGGAAATCTTACACTATATAAAGATGTAGCCTTTTTTTTTTTTTTTTTGGTAAATGGTAAAACCAAGGTGTACTTTAAACTCAAAGAAGGGATGAGAGAAAAAGGACAGCAAGACCTTGAAACTTGCCGAGTGTGTGTGACCCACAGATGCTGTCCGCCGGCTTGAGGTCGGAGCGGGACGGCTGAACCCGCTCCCTTACAGGGAAGTCAAGGGTTCCTGGGTGAATGCTTCCTCAGCACAGAGCAAGGCATGGTCCCCCTCCCTGGGGCCCGGTCCCCCTCTCTGGGGCCCGGTCCCCCTCTCAGCCAGCAGACCCCTATTCAGTTACGTCCATCAGCTGGAAACTAGTAGGAGTCACCCTGGAATTTCCTTCTGCTCTATGTTCCATGTCCCGCGCATTCCTCTCTCGCTCACTCACTCATTCGTAACTAACAACTGTGGCTCCTTCCTCCAGCCACTGCCTGGTCTCTTTCCCCTTCGCCATCTTCCCTGAACCCTGGTCTCTCGCCACCAGCGTTTCCTCTCCTCTCACACCCCAACTCCCTCCAACCGGACTTCTTACCCGACTGCGCCACGGAAAGAGCTCTTGTGTCAACGGTGACAGCCCTGTCACTAAACCACCGGACCCTCCTCAGGGCCCCTCGCGGGGCCTCGCCCCGCAGGTCCGTGCTCCGGGCCGTGCCCAGCTCCAGCGGCCTGGCCGACTCTCTCTCCTGCCTCCCCCGTGCTCCCTCCAGCTCCACCTTCCTCTGCAGCCGCGCCTTTCAGCGCGCGGTGTCTTTGAGGCCTCGTTTCAGTCCTCTTGTTCTCTGCCTTTCTGGACTAGCCCTCCGAGTGCATCCCACAGATCCTTCCACAGGGCTCCGCAAGGGAAATGCTGTTTGTGCAACAATTTTTTTTTAAAACTAAAATGCGCCCGCCACCCTGGCCCCGCAGGCACACCAGCCGCAGCAGGTGAAGCCGCTGGCGGCCCGCGCGGAGCAAGGCCGGCGCCAAACTGCACCCACAGCTTCCTGGGCTCCCCCGTCGCGTGTGTTCGGGAAAGCTCGACAGCTGCACTTCAGGGTGTGTCTGATGGGTTGGTAAAAACACGAAATTTCATGAAACCTCAGCTCTTGAACACAGGGTTTTCCCCATAGATATGCGATTTGAGTACCATTTATTAAGACGATTATTATTTCTCCACTGAATTAACTCGGCACCTCCGTGGAAGATCAGTTGGCCGCATAATTATGGGTCTGTTTCCAGACTCTCAGCTGCATTCCGTCGACCTTGCCGTCCCTCCTCACGCCGAGACCACGTGGCCCCAGTGACCACAGCTTTATACTAAGCTTGTAATCAGGTAGCGCAAGTTCTCCAACTTCGTTCTTCTTTTTAAAAGTTGTTTTAGGTATTTTAAATCCTCTGCTTTTCCACATAATTTGAGAGTTGGCTTATCAACTTCTACAGAAAGTTCTGCTAGGAACTGGAGTGGGACTGCCTTGAATCCACAGATGGCTTTGGGAGGAAATGTCATCTTAATATCCAAGAACATGGAATATTTCTCCATTCCTTTAGGTTTTCTTTACTTTCAGCAATGGTTTGACGTTTTCAATGCCTCAAGGACACAGAGTAATGCTGGAGATCCTGCTCTAAGTCTCATTTTTAATATGTCATATATATTCAAAGCCACATCCATCAACAAGCAAACGCCCTGGAAAAGGACTATCTGGTATATTTTTAAAAGATTTTGTAAGACACAAAGCTTTCGATAAAAAACTTGTTTATTAAAAAATATTTTCTCCCAATTTTGATTTGATATCTAATTCAACAAGGAGAAAGGTTACAAAACAATGGATCAGAACTGTTTATATAGAGAATGACAATCACGTCAGTTCATTTGTATATTCCACTTAGTAATGAAATACAAATTCAGTTCATTCACTTCACAAAGGGTAAACATAATTGATATGTGTTTAATTTTATAAAGCTTATCCATGTTTCAGTTAAAAATTCAGCTAATATAAAATGATACTGACTTAAAAGAGCTGCAAGGCATTACTTTAGACTTCCTTTCTTTTTTTAAAAATAAAATTTAAGAAAAATATGATTGTTAGGAAGTTTCTTCACTGATTGCAAGAAACACCTGAGACACCTTTGTGTTTCCGCGCTTTGCATTCCCAGGGATTAAAACGTGAACGGAGAGAGCACCCACGCCACCGCTCAGACCCCAGAGCCTAGAGAATTTCTGATAGGGTATGAAGTTCTTAGGAACTTCAAATGAATATGCAGGACAGGCACATTAAAAAATGGCTTTCTGAAATGTACACATTCAAAGAAAACCCTTTAGTATAGAACACTTTGGAGAGGAACTGCTCTTTCAATGGTTCAAGTAGTTAGTCTTTTTTGAACAGTTTCTTGATAAGCAACAAACCTTCTCAAGTTCATCTTCACATTGTCGAGCACACATAGCTGGTCTGGGCTGTATTTACCTCTCCCTTCTTTTCGTATCTGCCAAAAGAAAAATCTGATGTGATTTGGTGCAAATTACTAATTCCTTTATATAAAGAAAACATTGAGTTTTGAGTGTATTTCTTTTTAGAACAAGACAGCTGCCAGAATCTGATGAAACATTTCCACTGCCAAGATAAATGGAAGACAGTATGTGAGCCATAAAGATAGGTTGATTGTGTACCTTCTCGTTTAATTAAGCTGGTTGAGGTAACACTGGTTAATAACCACCTGTAAGGTTCCGGCCTGCGAGTCTCACGCACCGTCTGCGTGTTGCATCGCGCGCAACCCACAGTCGAGCCACGCCCGCCGCCGTGTGCGTGGCCCCTTCTCCTCGGCTAATCACCAGGCTGCTGCGCTGTCTGGGGGTGGGTTTGTTTTCCGTTTTATATCCTGCATGAGTGAAGTTACACACGGTTCTTGTCCTTCTTCATCTGACTTCCTTCACTTAGCATGATACGTTCAAGATCCATCCATGTTGTCACAGATGGCAACACTTCAGCATTTGTCATGCTGAGGAGTGTTCCGCTGCGTGTATGGACCACGCCTTCTTTATTCAATCATGCATCGGAGGACACTGGCTGTTTCTGTGTCTCGGCTATTGTGAATAATGCTGCAGTGATTACAGGGACACACAGATCTTCACAAATAAGCGCTTCCAAAATTTTGGGGTGGATACCCAGGATTCTGGGTCATATGGTAGTTCTAGTCTTAATTTTTTGAGGAAACCCCACACTGCTTTCCATGGAGGCTGCACTAATTTCCATTCCCACCAGCCTTGTGTGAGGGTCCCCTTTTCTCCACATCATCTCCACGACCTGCTACTTTGCACCTTATCAATAACGGTTATTTTAACGGGTGTGAGGTGGTATCTCACTGTGGCTTTGGTCTGCATCTCCCTAGTAGCTGGTGAGGTTAAGCATCTCAACACACAACACAATCCAACATAAACACTGTGTGTCTCTGTGAGGTGACAGATGCCGGCCAGACTCATGGCACTGATCACCTCACCATCCATACATAATAGCGGGTCATTACGTTGCACACCTGAAACTAATACAATGTCATAATGTCATATGTCAATTAAATACCAATTGAAAAAAAAACACAACAGCCTGGTGGGCGTGGCTCCGTGGACTGAGTGCCGGCCTGTGAACAGAAAGGTCGCCGGTGCCATCCCCAACCAGGGCACAGGCCTGGGTGGGGGGCATGTGAAAGGCAACCCAATGATATTGCTTTAGCTCTTGCTCAACCGTGTGTCTCTCCCACTCTTTCTCTCTCCCTTCTCCTCTCTCTGAAAGTAATTCAAATACTAAAAAATAAAAACCAGTATTTTTGTAGAAAAAGACAAACAAAAAAACTACAGGCTTCAAAAAAAACACAACTAAGAGTAAATCGCTCAGTCTCCGTCCTAGCGTTAGGTTCCCTGCGGGGGAGGCTCAGCTCAGTACCTGCTGGCCGCCACTCCCACGTTTTTTAATGGAAGGTGCCAAAACATGCAAGTGGAAACAACAGACCAGCATTCCTGTTCTTAGGCACCCACTTCAGACAAAACGATGACAGGAAACGTGCAGGGCCTGTGTCTCTGTTTTCTTCTGGAAAAAAACAACTAGCTTTTATGCCTTAAAAAGTTTCCAGAAAACTTAACTTTCTAGACACACAATCAAATTCACCTGAAACCCATCAGAGTTCTCTCTGTGAGGCCCGAATTCCGCATTAGCAGCTTGTTAGATCAAAGAAATCCACACTGGGAGACAACGAAAAGCAAGATCATCTTCCATCAGAACCTCTATTCTCCTGACAAAGATTTAAAAGCAACTGTTGAATTTAAAAATCTAAAAGCCAAAAAGACAACTATTTTATTTCAAAGGAGTCTGCCTTTTCTCAGAGCGCCCAAGGGAAACACGCACAACAATGACACCGGCCTGCAGCGTATTCCCCGGGTCAGGAGAGGCTCAAGCCGCGGGGGAGCTGCCGGCCGCACTAGGAGGGCGCGAGTGCCTTCGGCAGCACCCAGCCTACAAGGGAAGGGCGTGTCATGCCACATGGCTCGGGCCACAGGGCCGAGCTCCAACTCGGCCAGGCAGCACCCGCAGACAGGGGCCGAGGGGCTGCCGGCACCTCGGAGGGGGCTCGGAGGGGCTGCGCACCACCCTCCCCGCCACAGGATGCCGAGCCATAAGCATTTCTAACGAGAACAGCCTCCTACCCTCATCTTGAAGACTGGCTGGAATTCTTTCAGGGCGGACAACAAGTGAATTTGAACGGAGGCCTTTTCAGCTTCTTTACCGTCTGCGAACACGTCGAACAGAGCATCTAGGGCCTCTCCAGCGACTACCAGCGAAGGGTCCTTGGTGGCGACCTCCAGCAGAAAGCACCCGATGGTCTGCAGGCAACGAAACACACCGTTATCACTAGGACTCTCGGGTCAACTTCCAAAGTACCAGCTTTAAATGTGGGAGGAATTTATGCACAATATTGTATACAAAAATGCCGCGGGGAAATGAAAGCTTTGAAAAGACTGAAGATTAAAGACTTAACATACATTTATAAATATACCAAGTATAATGTAAGATAAACACATCAGAATTCATATTCCTAAATAAAATGAATTAAGGTTCATAAATGATATATGAAAGATGGATTTAGGAAATTAAAAAAATTTCCCCTCTGCCTCCCTCAAAAAAGCTTTCCCCATGGTGTCAAAATGGAACAAAAAATATCCTTTTTCAATTATATGAAAAACACTCAAAGACAATAAAAAAACACGGACCCCAGCACACTCTCACCAGCTGATACACAGGCCGCCCCCCGTCTGCGAAGAGCTGCTCAAGGGCGAGTTACGCCGTGAGGCTGCTCAGCTTCGCCTTTCTGTCTGAAAGGCACGCGCACACCCGGCGCCACACGCGGGCCAGAGCGCCTGCTAGGCTCCCCGGGTCCAAGCCCCGGCTCCACCGTACGTTCCACCCTGAGCAACAGGGTGACCCCTGGACAGTCCACTGGCCCCGCTGGGTCGCAGTTTTCTCACCTGAATCTAAGTGTCCAGATTGCCTCTAGGACGGTATTTAGACTTACGATGCCAGGCAAGAGGAAGCACACAGCACCACCTACAGAGCAGTCTTATTAAAAAGACGGGTCTGAATCTGAGCCTCGTCTGGCCTTGAGCGCCCACTGCCAGTTTGCAGGAGATACAGAGGAGGAAGGAACAAGCTCAGCAGCTTGGGGAAGCCCTCGGGCAGAGTCAGAGGCCCGACGCTGTGCTTAAGGGACAACTGACCCCGGGGTTAAGCGAAAGAACAGGGGTGGGTGGTGAGTGGTCACAGGTGCTGCGGGAGAGCTGTTCTGGGGTAACAGAGGCTTAGAAGGCCCCACACCAAGTGTAATGTGCAAACTTCACTTGGATGCTGGTCTAAACAAACTCTCTGCAAAGAGATACTTCTGGAACAACTAGAAAAGTATAAGTATGAACCAGGTGTTTGACATACTAGGAAATGACTGTTACCCGCGTAAAGCAAGACAGTGGTGGTCATCTAAGAAACCATCCCTGTTTACGACACGCATGTGAACCAGGAAGGGCAAAATACCGTGAGGTCTTTCATTTACCTTAACACACCCAGCAAAGAAACCATAGGAAGTACAGGCAATGGAACACTGCTCATTGCTAAACACGCTTGGTCGGTACACTAAATACATCCTACCTTTCCTCTATTTTTCTTCATGCTTGGAAATGGAACAAAATAGAAAACATTTTTAAAATCTTACGTTAAGCCTGAGAAGAACATGCCGTTCCTAAAGCAGACCTTGGAAACTAGTGTTAAGGGGCGGGCGCCACCGTGCACACACGCCTCTGTGCATGCGCACCAGCCGCAGAGCCACACCGCCCTCTTGTGTGTGTGCGCGCCCGCCACAGCCACACTCTTGCCCACTGAGCGCCTGCAGGTCCCAAAGCCTGGGGCGATGCCTCTCCAGAACTGCCGGGGACTGCAGCTGGGGGTGGGGATGAGTGTCTTCGCTCTATGTTCTTCTCTACTTTTCTAAATGTTTTGCTACGTGCACGTATCATCTTTTGAAAATAAGGGTCTTAAAGGTATCGCTGTCATTGTGAAGCTCTTGGCAGGTTAAGGAGTACGGTATGCTAATCGGTGTATTTCCCATCAGTCAGCAGTCAACGCTTGAGCAGGTGTTAGCACCGTGCAGGGTAATTGCGCCATCCCTGTCGTTAGTTGGTGGTGACACCTTATCTCTAACACTCAGCTCCCGAGCACCTGTGCTGAGAGAAAGCGCCAGAAGCAAAATGCCGAGCGAGCTCCCAGCGGATGCGCAGCAGCAGCAGGACGCGGCTGCCCGGGAGCAGCGGCGCTGCCTCTGAAGGAGCCTATGGCGCGGAGCCCAGGCGTGCGCCAGCCCGGTGCGCGGGCTCCCTCATGGCAGGACAGGCATGTACCCGGGCAACAGCAAAGGCGGGGGCAGCCGACAGCGCCGACCTAGCCTTTCCAGGGAGACAAGTTCGTTTTTGAAAAAGTGTCTCTGGAGCAAAGTTAAATGGCAAAACATGACTCAGCTTCTCAAGTCCCTGCCTCATTCACGGACCCAGAGCAAGCCCAAGGGTGCACTGACTCACACCCTTTGGTGAGCAGCTTCGCAACATGCCGCCTCTCACGGTGTCCACAGTTGTCTTCTAAAACCCCACGCCAACAGCGACTAACCCCTGAGCATTTCAGGGTAGAAGCAGACGGTCTTACCTTGAGAGTTTCAAGCGTGCCGTCTTCTTTGGCTAGGACGCTGCCCATGATTCCCAAAATGCTGACCACGTTCACTCTGACACCGACGCTGGCGCTCTGAACGCCGGCCCTGCACAGCGTCATCAGCTGATCCGGGGTCAGGCACTGTTGGAGGAAAGGAGGGGCGTGCGTGTGAAACCCACCGGTTCCCGCCGCCGCCGCCGCGGGAGACGCGATGAGGGCAGTCTCCTCGGTGCACTGCCCGGCCCTGGGAACCACGGAAGGTCTCAGCAAAGCGGTCACCACGTGACCTAAACCGCTCCCGCAGGCGGCCGGTGGGGTCGCTGTCACCACTTGGCTGTCCACAGCCTGCGAACGGGCCTTGGGCTCCTGTCACCTTCATCCTGATGGACACGGACTACAGAGACTCCAGTTTCTTTTTCGCATTGATTGTGAAAAGTGTTTTGAAAATGTCATAGGACCATGTAGCTTTAATAAAAATGGGCTGAATCTAAACAAGAACCCTGAGATGTGTTAGGGTCGATTAGTAAAGACCATTAAGAACCACTAAATTCTGCAGTGCTTCACTAGTAGCAATACTTTCCGTTTTACGCTCACTTGAATGCACGTGCAGACGCGGTGTTGGGAGAGAACACTAGTGAGTGACCTGCTGCCCGTGAGAGGCAGCCCATTGTGGGGATTAAGGGCTCGGGATCTAGAGGCTGACACTCTGGGTTCAAATCCCAGCCCCTCCACTTACCACCTTGGGCAACACAGCCCACGTTGCTGAGCCCCAGGAAACCCTCCGTTCCCCGTCACAGGAGGAACGGAGGGGCCAGGAGGGCTGAATGCTGCGCATGAAGCACCGCCAGATGTCGGCTCTCCTTTTGTACAAAAGCCCCGAGCAGTTCTCAACCACCTACTGCATTTCTGACTTGCCTGCACTGCTCTGCCAGATCTAAAAGTGACAGCAAATGTGCCCCACTTCCTCAGAACATAATCTGTTGAAAAGAATTCCACAAACGACGGTGTCGTCCCCAGCTAGGACGGGCTGAGAACAGAAAGGGGCATCATGTCATCCTCGGGGTGACTCGGAGCGTCGGCTGCCGTGTATACAAGCCGCGGGTAGGCAGCAGGCGTCCGGGCCTGGGGCTGTCCCTCAGCAAGCCGGGGCCCTAGCTCCTCTCCTCGTAAAGCACCAGGGAGCCAGGGTGCTCCGAGCCCTGCAGCTTGAAGCCTGCGTCCAGGCCCCAGCCAACTGGAGGGCGTGTGCTCTCGCTGCACGTGAATAATATCCTGCTAACGGAGCCTGAGCTGGGAGTGATTTCCTTCCAACATCAGGCTGGCGCAGTTGGTCACTGCCTGAGAACCAGGGGAGATCCAAGTGCTTGATACTCCTCTAAGCCCCCGGGCGGAGGGGCTTCTGGACCCCGGAAGCTACCTGGCGGGCCAGGCATCACAGTGATTCCCATTTCATAGAAACTGAGAGTCAAAAGCTATGTTCTTGAAAAAACACACAAAGAATTTTTTAAAAAGTACGTATTAAAAGGCAATGTTACAGGCCGTATCTCACAGCGAAACACCAGGTATCCCAGCAGGCCCCGGGGCAAGGCCAAGTCAGGGCGCTCCGCTCCAGGGGTGGGCACAGCCCTGTGGGGAAGGGTGCCCAAGAGCTGCGAGGTCAGGTCGCTGCGGGGAGCAGCTGCCTGGACAGGGAGGGCACCCAGAGTGACCGGAGGGCTGGTGACGAGAGACGGAGCCCAGCAGGACCTTCGAGGCACAAGGAGCACCCGGGATGGCCAGTGACCTCAGCCAGCTCGTTGCTGGTAACTAGGGAATGTCTGTTAATTTGAGAGCATGGGTCATGGTGTGGTGGCTACATTCTTAGAAAGTTCGCTTTCTGTCACAGACATAATGAAGCACAAAATAAAGTACTTATGGGTGAAATAATGTGATTTGCGTTCAACGACTTCAGGGAGCAAACACGAATGTGTCAGGAGACGAAAGGAACAAGGATCCAGGATGCCGGCTGACGCGCTGCTGACACCTGGCAACGGCGCCTGCAGGTGCACCGCAACTGTAACAAGGCGCTCCTCTCTTGGCGTTCAGGGAAGCTGGGGGCGTCCTTAAGGAAAAGCAGAGCCTGTGCGCGCCAAGGGCCCGGCAGGTGCCCTGTGTGGGGTCAGGAGGGCACGGCCGACCATGTCCTGACCAAAGTGTTTCAAAAAGACAAACGCCATTCAGAGCAAATATTCACAACACCCCTGTCAAATAAGTCACACCGCTGACAAAACTTCTGCGGGCTGGTGGCGGTGGTGGGGAGAAGGGAAAGGTTTTATGTTTCGCTTGAAGCACTTTTGCTTTCTTGTTACAAGAATTGTTGCAACAGAAATAAAAACTTGAAAAATAATTAAGCAGTTAACTACAGACTCTGCCAGTTCCATATAGACGCTTTGAAACTCTACCTGAGAAATGTTCTTGGAGGCCATTGTTTGCAAAAGGGCCCGCAAGGCACTGCTTATGGCTTCCAGGAAGTCAACGTGCTTCGCAAAATCTAAAACACAGAAGAGAAACATGAATTTTGCCTTTCTCAAGACAAGTGATTTTGTAGAAAAGGAAACAGAATTAAAGCAGAGCACGTTACACGTTAAGACGTGCCATTACAACGTGCTGTTACAACGAAAACACCTGGGGGCGGGAGCCAGCCCTCCTGGTTCGCGGCCCCTGCTGCGGCCTGTTCGCCTGGGTCGGGGAGACGGCCACACGGGAAAAACCGTGCCGGGCGGGGGGGTGCTCCACGGGCAGCCCCAGGCCTGGACGCTGAGGCCCGGCCTTCCCTGGCCTGGCCCTAACTCGGGACACCCGGAGCTGGCTCTTGCAGACTGGCTTTGGCTTTACACGGACCGGTGGGCGTGCTGGGCTGGAGGGATGGGACCTCCTTCCCCACCGGAGTCCCCAAAACCCACGCCCACCGCCCAGCTGAGAACTGCTGCGGGGCCCGGTGAGGCGGCTTCCCGGCTGTTCAGGGTCAGGGACCCCGCCTCCCCTGCCCTTCTCCCCACGCAGGACAAACAGATCAGCAGTAATTATGCTGACACAGCCACATACAAGTGGTGGCAGGGTAGGGGGGCTGTCCGTCCAGGCAAGCTGGCTCCCTAACCCTCTGCAGCGAAGAGAAAGTGAACTAACTTGGTGCGATAGGTTCTATTCTCAAAAAACAGCCACAACAGTACTTCCACCTCGACAGGATCTTTCTGAACCTGGACACTTTCAGAAAGATTGGAGTCTATTTCCACTCCCCCAGAACCTGGGCGGGACTTGAGGACTAAGCCTTCAACCAGCAGAACGTAAGAGAGGGCCAGGCTAGGCCACTGAGGAGGACACGACTCCCACCTGACCCGCGTCTGCGCTCCCCTCACCTCGGCCCCTGCCTGCAGCCCAGCCCCAGGCTGTGAGGGAGCCGGGGCACAGGGAGAGGTCATTAAAGGAGGACAGTTATCTGCATATAGTATGTGCCTAGGTTTTTGTGTACAAATGAAACTAATCCATATCAGAGACCTGCATAAGATTTAGCTCTTATTATGCTTAACAGAGGCATGTTAAGAAATGCAAGGAGTAGAATTGTGTGAATGCTGTTCTCCCATCTGCCTTAAAAACACATGTGCACTTTTATACTGAGAACCCCCCGGAAGAAAACACAAGGAGCTGTGAGAGGGATGGTGGGGCGCGCACAGGAGGGATGCCCTCCCCCTTAGGTCCTCTAAAGCTGGGTGAATTCTGCAAAACGCATCCTTGCCACCCATTCAAATGTAAACGAAGTGGTTTTATCTTTAAGAAGAGAAATAAAGAATAGAGAATTAGCCAAATGCACTCGTGCTAAGTTTAAGGTATTTGTGATTGAGCCTTATGAGGCCTAACCTAGCCGGATGCAAACAGTTTCCCTGAGAAAGAAAACTAGACAGAGACCGGCCTGAGACCCCGCCGTGTGCCGCCTTCTGAGTCTGTACCCCCTGCAGCTGCAGCTGCACGACTGTCGGCGTCAGCAAGGGGTCCTGCAGGCTGCACGGCCCACCGCCAGCCGCCAAGTCCCAGTGTCCACCCCTTCCAGCTCCGCCCCCGTGCGCAGTCTACGGCAGCAGGCCTACCTCTTTACCTGGCTGAGAAAAGAGCAGAGTGGACAGGTGCTGCGCGAGGGCCTGGAGGGCCGGGGCCCCGCCCAGGTGCTCCACCTCCAGCAGGGAGACGAGGCTCTGGAGGCACACGAGGGCTCGGCACTGCACGGTGTTCATTCTGCAACGCAAGCGAGACATGCTGTCGGTTTCTCTCACAGGGACCCCGTGGAACCCAGGACCGACCGTCCCCCTAAGCTGCCAGCTCCGACCGGAGCGTCGGCGGCAGCGGGCAGAATCCGAGGCAGGCCGTTCATCTGGCCAATCGAGCCGAGATGGACCCCAGCGCCCTCGCAGCCCACCTGCGCCGTCCCTGCCGCACCCGCCTCCTGGTAACCCCGAAGGTCCAGACTTTTATGGTAAGCATTTCCTTGCTGTCCTTTACAGGTTTACCACACGCGTACGCATCCCTAAACGCAAGAGCTTGCTGTTACTTGTGTCTGAGCTTTGTAAAAATGGAATCAGTGTGTACACTCTTTGGTGCCTTGCTCTCTTGCTCAGTGCTGTTTCACCCACGTGGTGAGAGGTTCCGGTTTGGGCCCTGTGCAAGGCCGTGTGTGCTCCACTGTGGATTATGCCCACAGTATTCACCCATCCTGCCGCCGATGGGCAGCGAGGGCGTTTCCAGGGTGGGGCAAGTGTGAGCCAGCACAACGCACGCCTCAGGCCTCAGCGCACACAAGCATGCATTCCTCCAGGGCGTGCACACGGACAGAACCCGAGAGTGGGGGGCAGAAGGCCCCTTCTACTGTGTGGGGTCTGAAAGAGTGGGGTTCACCCTTTCATACAACAACGACGACAAAAGGTTTTGAAAACAGAAAAATTCTTACTTTCTAACCAAAGGTTTCCAAGTGGGGTTCCCAGAACATATGTCAACTGCAATGCTGTTTGGAAAGGCAGTTTTCTCAAATATCTAGATTTTTAAAAAGTCATAAAGCAAAAGTTAAAGAGCAGGTTCATTTTACACAGATCCCTTTCTAAAGCCTCAACGGATTCCTTCCAGGTGGAACGCTCAGCCTTGCTAACGACGCCCGTCAGCCCACGTCTGGTGCAGGCCGTCCTGTTTAGCATCCCGACCCCCTGCAGCGGGAGCTTGCTTCCTCTGCACACAGAACGGGCAGCTTTCCCCAGCCTCCCCCAAGCCCCATGGGGTTGGAGGGGCCCGGACCGAGGACACTCACCTTCTTGGGGAGGAGGAAGCTGGTGAGGGCGCTGTGGACCTCGTGGGAGAGGCAGAGGGGAGATAGCAGCTGCCCAGCGCCCTCGCAGAGGGTGTCCTCCATGAACGCCTCGCTCTCGTCGCTGCTGGAGGGCTCCTCCTCCCATTCGTCCTCGTCGTCCGAGGGACCTGGGCGGGGGGGGGGGGGGGGCGGGACACAGAGCCGAGCGTCAGGCTGGTCCTGGGGGCACCCGCCCCCTCAGCCCCGGGGAGGGAGGGAAGCTGGCGGCGCACCTTCACTGCAGCACATGTTGACGATGATTTCCAGAGCAGTCTGCTGAGCCGTCAGCAGCGCGGTGGCCTCTCGCAGCTCCTTGTCAGTAGGCTAGAAAACAACCAGACAGCCGGCTCTCAACGCCTGGGATGGTACTTACATGGGAATTCCCTTAGTTAAAGTGCACCAGATGATTTCTGCCCGGGCACAGGGCGGGGACAAGGGTCCTAAGGAGGAAACACTCATCCCTCCCGGCACTGGGGAGCCAGCCGCTGTCCACTCCCAGCTGCCCGCACGGCTGTCACTCTCTACGTGCTGCTTATGCGTTCGGGAGAACAGATAAATAGGAACTGTGGACTAAATTCGCCCTGAAGCTTAGCCTAACGTGTTCAGAAGAAGCTGAGCACACTAAGGTTAGAGCAAGAGCCCACCTCAGACGCCAGGCACCGGCGCACAGCACACCTGCCTCTAGCTGCTTAGACGCCTTCCCGGAGGTGGCTGCGCTAACTACGCACACCCTCTGCGGTGAGGGGTGGGAGGGCTGGCTTCCCGGCCTCCTTGAGGGGCAGCCATACAGCCTTTCTAACACTGAAGCAAGACGGGGCTTTTTCCCTCTGGAAATAAATTAACATCAACTTACCAAGGACCATTCTTAAGAGGGGTTCTATACATTTACGTGACCTTAATTTTGCAAGTCACCTCATGAAAAGTGAAATAGCTACACTGTTATTCCAAAACAGTATGTAAGCTAAAAATAATGTATATTTTATTGTCTGAATGATGGATGCACTATAATTTATTAAGCATTTCACTGGCATGGAATATTTCAGATTACTTGGATACCTTATTTCCTCAGATTTACTGGGTCAAAGTTTAAAAACACAACTAGAGACCTGTGACATCGTCACAATTTCCTTTCCAGTGTATTTATTCCCATTTATAATCCTCCAGCAACTTCCTTGTACAACAATTTAACTGTAATTCAAACGATGTCCTTAAAAAAAAAAAGAAAGGCAAATTGCTCATTGAAGAGATGTGGCTAATTTAATATTTGTACTCCCTTTACTGCTGGCAAGAATGAATGTAAAAATTATTCCTATTTGCTGTGGGGGGGGTATGCCACTAAACAAACATTTACAGACTCCACAGGCCGGTGCTGGGCTCTTCCCCACTTAAAATGCACGCGGTTCTGGCTTAGAAGCATCTGAAACTAAGTTCCACTTTGTCGTACGACGCTCCTGCTCAGAACATCCCGCGCTTCTCACCGTTACCGCGCTGACAGAGGGGCCGTGCCGTGGGAACGCGGAGGCGCCCGGGACTCGCTGCGAAGAGCTCGCGGTGGGGGGGCGGGGGCGGGGGGCGCGATGCGACGGCACCGACTACAGGGTGACAACCGGCCGCGTGGGCGCTGGCGGGGGACTGCGCTCCTGCTGCGTGTGTTCACCGGCGACCTGGGTCGCTTCTCTCCTTACACACTCGGGACCATCGCTTCTCGGTTAAATGCTGCAATTACAGGTTCTGCCTCGAAAGGACCCCTGCGCCACGGAAGACCCGAGCTGCCTGGCCGGGAGTCTGCGTTCCTGGCGCGCAGCAGCCCCGCGCCCAGCAGCCCGCGGGCCGGCGGGCCGGCCTGTTAATCATCCAGCCCACTCGGTTATGCTAACAGACTTTAAAAGCAGGCTTTTGTTATAAGCTGCATTTTATAAGCACCAAAATTCTATTTTTAAAGAATCCTTAGGGAAGTACATCTCTAAATATCAGTTAAATGCCTACAGTTTTTAACCAGTCTCAGGGGACCTGGAGCTCGGTCCCCTCTGCCCCTTCAGAAAGGAGCCCCTTGGAGGCAAGGCTGGCGAAGGGGCAACACTCGGGAGTGCCGTCCTCCCACGCCGCGGCCTGCAGAGGGTCCTCCGACAGCCCGCCTGGGACTTCCATTCTGTGTGGACTGGAATTCGGGGTAAAGCTGCTGCACCAGTCGGGACAGACCCAGGGCAGCTGCAGGACGGCCACCGGCATGGACTGTCCCCCGCCCCCCGACGGTACACAGGTGGACGGAACACCACGCCGTCCCAGGTCTACAACCTAGCCCCCCTCCGACAAGCCAAGAGATGTCCCTAGGGCTCTTTACAAACACCCTTTGGGGAGGACAAGGCGCATGGCTTTGTGGTCGTCTATCCTGCTTCACCAATTTTAAATTCTGCTCAACTCTGACTCGGACGCACAGTGAGACAAGGAGTTGACTTGGGGTTCGCGCATGCGTCGCCTGCACCGAAGCGGGGCGCCAGGACTCTTCAGCCACTTTATGATTTGGAAGCAACTCAGGCGGTCACCCCTGCCCCCAGCACAACGCGCTGCACCTAACAGCTACTCACAGGGGTGGGAAAGGCCGTTCCAACTACGTTTTTTTTTTCTTTAAACCACCATCCATTCGTGCTTTACGAGACTTCGTGAACGCAAAGAAGTAGTAGACTGATTTTCAGTGTATCTCACATAGAGAATTCTTAATGGGCATAACCTTATCGAAGCTCTGAGGCCCTGACGGAAGGCCATTCTCAGCCCCAGTTCCCCTCACACGAACAAGGACCGCCCCGTGCGAGGCTGCAGGGGCCGTGGCCTCCTCGCCCTCGGTCAGGACGGCTTCGCAGCCCCCTGACTGTGCTTCCTGCCTCCAGGCCCCCGACCGCCCCGCCTTCATCACGCTGCCTCTGCCCCCGCCCTTAAGACGGCTCGGGAGTCCTGTCCCCCAGCCCTCTCTGCCTGCCTCTCCCCTCCCTCTGCCCTCAGGTGAGCCTGCTCCAGACAGTCTGCTCCCTTGGGGCCCCAGGCCCAGCCCTATTACAGTCCTTAGCACGGGCATTGCGGTAAATCACCAGGACGTGTCTCTCCTTCTGAGACGGAGCAGTCCCTGAGGACAGGAAATACGTCTTCATCATCTTTCGTTTCTCAGTGTCTGGCCCAGTGCCCAGCACACAGCAGCAACAGAGACGGATGCACCTGAAGGAACCAAGGCCTGGTCCTCCCTGGCCTCCTGCCTCCGTGCTCACCTCCTGGGGACGCCTTCTCTGAGCACGGCTCCGTCTCTGCGGGCCGGCTCGGAGGAAGCGTTTCCGGCACCCGGGACTGCGCGCCCTCGCGCCACCGTCGCCCGGGCTGCAGCAGCCGCCAGCCACCGCTCCTCCCACAGTCCGCCGCCCTCCTCCGTGCAGCAGCAGTGGGCAGCGGCAGGGCCGGCCGCCGCTCCACGAGATCAACACCGAAATCAGACAAGGGAGTCCTGGGTCGGACGCTCCAAGCAAAGTAAAAGTGCCTGTAGCTGGAGGGCAGCCTGGGAGACGACGTTACATGGACTGGGGAGACACGGCAGCTCCGAAGGCGAGGCGATCGCCTGCTTCTACAGTGTCGCCCAAGTTTGGTCTATCCCACCTTTGAAACCTTCTGTACATAGAAGCTTCATTTTAGCCCTGGCTGGTGTGGCTCAGTGGACTGAGCGCCAGCCTGCGAACCCAAGGGTCGCCCGTTCTATTCCCAGTCAGGGCACAGGCCTGGGTTGTGGGCCAGGTCCCCAGTAGGAGGCGCACACGAGACAACCACACATGGATGTTTCTTTCTTCCTCCCTTCCTCGCTCTGAAAATAAATAAATCTATCTTTTAAAAAAAGTTTCATTTTAAAAAGGAGACTTTCTTCCCTTTGGGGGTAGATTTCTAATGTTCTATATCAGAGTTCATTTGGAAAAGAGGACCGATTTTTACTGAAATTCACTTTCTAATTAATTTTGCTGTAACATTTTTCTACAAAACTTAGGATACCGACTCAAAGGAAATCTCCGTATTAATCCATGTGTGAAAGCAGCGCTCTGACTTACTGGAAGTAAATCCGAAATGAAAGTTTTCCTCCTGACTCTTCTCTTTGGTGGAATTTCTTCCATTTCATCGTCTTCGATCAAACCACCCCCGTTCGCGTTCTCCAGCACGTCCTCGGTCTCGGCAGCGGTTTTCACCCTTTGCGTCTCCGCCTCCTTCATTTGAATGACCACTTTACCAGCGTCCATTTCCAGAACTTCGGATAAGGTCTTCAGGATAGCATTTATGATTTCTGCTTGACTCTTGGACGGAATAACGTCTTTCAGATTCCAAATCGTGCCTGGGAAAAAATGAGCGCAAGGACAAAGGAATCGCCTGTGAAATCTCTGATTAAGTACGGTTTTCACGAGATTGGTTCTTTAAGCTTGGGTGTAATTTCAAGAAGTCTTGATCCCACTGCCTTTGTTCGGTTTTAATTAAATGTCAGAGAGCTGTGCACAGAGGCAGCTCCCTTTACTGGGGCCTCCCCAGTCCTCTCCCCTCCCTGGCACACACTCCTCTGGTGCTACGCCTAGCAACAGAAAGAAGCACTGATCAAGTTTCTTTGAAAACAACAAATTAAGCTGCCTCGTTTTCTTTCATCTTAACCTGAACTGCTCTCCAAGGCAGCGGCTTATATTCCAAGAGTGGAATGGAATGTACTAAAATTCCACGGCCTTGCAGACAAGCCAGGCAGCACGTTCTTGGTTTTTTTTGATTATCCTAATAGGACAGGAGCTACCATTACGTTAGGATAATTGTTTCAAAAGTGGCTGTTAAAATAAAAATACTTCCTGGATATATACCCAAAAGAATTGGAAGCAGGGACTCAAACAGATATTTGTCCCCCCACATTCACAACAGCGTTATTCAACAGCCAAAAGGTGGGAGCCACCCAGGGGTCCACCCACACACGAGTGGCTACACCAAACGTGGTCCATACATACGGTGGAATATTATTCAGCCTTAAAAAGGAAGGAAAGCCTGCCACAGGCTACAACACGGATGGCCTTTGAGGCCATTATGTTAAGTGAGATTAGCCAGTCACCAAACAAACCCAACAACTTATAATCCCACTTGCATGAGGCACCCAGAGCAGACGGAAAGTAGAATGGTGGTTGCTGGAGGCCGGGGGTCGGAGGGGGGCGGTGAGGAGCTGTTTAATGTGGACAGAATTTCAGTTTTGCAAGATGAAGCAAGTTCCGGAGACTGGATGCATGACACTGTGAATGTACTTAACGTGCCTGAACTGTACAGTTAAAAATGGCCAAGATGGAAAATTGTATGTTATGTACATTTTACCACTAAAAAAAAAAAGAAACACCTCTCAAGATAAATTCCCTCTGCAAGGCCAAAGGGCAAGAGAAAAATATGCGGAGAAACTATAATATTCCCAACTACTCGACAGATCATCAGATTATTTCTCATGCTTGTATTTAGAAATTCTGGGGGTAAAAGAGCTGGGGGCGGAGCTCTTACAGAAAAGGGCGTGGCCATGTCCCTGATGCCCGTGGCCCGTTTCCCATCGCCCTGGTTAATAAGGGGACCCTGACAACAGCGTTCCTTCATCAGGTAAGGGTGGCCTGTCACACTGACAACAAATCGGTTCTAGAAGGCTTCCCGACTGCACAACCAGCTGAATGAGGGGTCTCCTCCACATTAAACTTCCCAGTGCAGACACAAGCACGGAAGGCCGTGAGGGGTGAAATAAAGGAGTTTCGGCCCCATCTCTCCCCACCACCAGTTACTAAGAGGCACACGACCTCCCCTGGCTAAATGTTACCTGCCACCAATGTCTTTAACAGCGTACGTTCCATGGAACTGGCCGGAGCCAGCATCGCTGACTCCAGCACCCGCAAGGCTGAGCCACTGAAGGACTTCAGCAGCTCCGGGTTGTCCTCCGTGACCGTCTGCAAGCAGTAGGCTACGAAGACAGAAACTAAACATTTAGAAACAGTGCACTCCGCTAGCGTTAACTCACACCAAAATAACTCATCCAAAAGCATCTGCGCCTCTGCAACTTCTCCAGACACAGTTAGCTTTTGTAGGACACGAGCTCAGGACAGCACACGCCCCTGTGGGTCCCTAATGGCCGGTGCTGCCGAAGATGTTTTTCTTTTTTCTTTGCTTAATTTCTAATTCTTTACAGAAGCAGACTTTTATAAATATAATTTAAAAGGCTCTTACATGCCATGACAACGTGGAGTCACTATAAACATCAACAAAGGCTAATCCTCAGCTACTCACTGGGGGCCGGCAGCAAACAGTCTGCGAGCCCAACACCTGTCCATGGACGACATCCTTAGAGTAGTTTTGTTGCCGATAACCAGCCTTAGGTTTTGGGACATTCTGGCTTCCTTTAAATTCAGCATGACCTTAAAAGTTACAGTTATTTCTGGTGAACCAGTATTTCTTTAAGAAAAAAAGTATTTTACATGAAAATGTAAGCAAATTCAGAGATGTGTAAAATATTGAGAGACATATGAGCCATTTAACTCATCCCCTGAATTAAAACAAGATAAATCTATAACACCACTAAGGCACAAAATTATGAATATAGAAGTGGAGTTTTCTTTTTAAAAGCTGTGAACTTTGCAGAAATTCTTTTTTTCTTAAAGATTTTATTTATTTATTTTTAGAGAGAGGGGAAGGGAGGGGGAAAGAGAGGGAGAGAAACTTCGATCAGTCGCCTCTCGCACACCAACTGGGGACCTGGCCTGCAACCCAGGCATGTGCCCTGGCTGGGAATCGAACTAGCGACCTTTGGTTTGTGGGCCAATGCTCAATCCGCTAAGCCGCACCAGCCAGGGCCTGAAATTCTTATTGTAACAGAAACTGTCCTCTGAGATTAAAGGTCGCCTACCGAATTCCTAGCTCCACTGTTTATAAGATGCACATTGACGGGCAAACCTCCCTCCGCCAGAGATTCCATTCTACGAAAATGATTGTTAAATTTTCCCCAGTAGTATTTGCTCCACTATGTGTTTTTTCTTTTCTGTTCTCTTAAAAGTGCCCATTAGAGCCAAGAGAAACATCATTAAGGGGAACACTCTTTGTGCTTGCCAGGAGAGAGGCAGAGTTAAATAAAAGGATGCCTGCCAGTATGATGGGCAGAACAGAAATGCTTTTCATCAATTACGTCTCCATCTACCCCAAAGTTCTGCTGAGCACCCACCCTCCGGTTCTGTCTCCTACCCCTGCTGAGTGAGGACCCCTCAATGGCTGCCTAACCCCATGGACGGAGGGTGGGGGCCAGGCAGCTGAAGCGGCTCACCTTCCTTTCCTGTCCACGGAAGGGCGGCAGGCCCAGGTTAACCGTTTTCTGCTAAAAGTATGAGAATGTGGTATAAGACGTTTAAAGAGGTCTCGATTCCAATGAATTGTGGCTCAAAGGCCTACTAGCTGTGGGTTGCTGCTTCCCAGTAAGTGGGCGGTGAAAGCTCGAGAATTAATAGAGGCTTCTAAAACCGGTAACACACTAGAAACCACACGCGCTCAAATAATCACCTCCCTCCCTTTCCGAGGGAAGTGCAGGAAAAGTGTGTGAGTATTCACCACAGATTTTAAAAGCTATGCATTTATAGACAATGAGGGGGAAAAAAATCACTCTTGTAGAATAAACATGCTTTGTCTGAATTAAAATTTTCAAATAAGGCCACACATACTTAATAAAGCGCCACCTTTTCCCCACTTACCTACTGAAATGGCCAGGTCAACGTTGGTGGAAAACCGACTTAAATACTTTATTACAATCTCCAAACACCCTTCTTTGTTGAATATAGATACTGCTTTACTACTGCATTCACTAAGTGGAAGAGGGGGGAAAAAAAGTTTTACTATTCACGTTTTAACAGTAAGAAACCAACCACAGAAATTCATGAGAAAATAAACGAGGCCGCATAAAAGAACCAGAGTCGGCACCAAGCCCCTGCCATCTCTCAGGCGGAGGGTGCCCGCACCCACTGCTGGGCACTGTCCACAGGCACAGCTGGGCGCCTGTGTTTCTGCGTCCACGTCAGAGTAGGGTCCTGTGGCCAATCTCTTTACCTGCGCCCCGGTTTCCTTATAGGAGGTTCGAGCTGGAAGAGATCTTATATATCACGTACTTCCAGACGAGGAAACCCGGCCCCAAAGGGCAAGGCGATCTGTCCCACGATCACACGCTTTGTCGGTGGTTCCTTGGGTCCGGCCTACTGTTCTTTCCACTACACCCCAGGAACAGTAAGTTAAAGTGAGGCTAAAAGGTCCCTGTGCTTATCCTCCTAAAGCTTTTAGGTCAGAAGTATAATCTTGCTAAAAATGTAGACCACAACATGGGGTAGAAAAAAGTAAATCCAGGCTGTGTTTCTAGCTATTTCCACTCCTGACCACGAGGGTCCCCCACCTCACTGCTGCCGTCACGGCACAGAGCGTGGCCTCTCCCTGCTGGGCCACGGGAGCTCCTCTCAAGCTCTCAAGCCGGGATCCACGTCCCGGTCACGTGGCAGCGCCGGGGTGGCAGAGTAAAGCCCCCACCGAGCTTTGTGGCCCTGTCTCACTCCAGATGCCAGACCAAAGCAGCGATGGCCCCCGGCCTGGCTGGCTTTAAGACAGATGCTGCTTCAGGTACGTGGGCAGTGGGGGAAGGGTGTGCGGTGCGCGCCCTTGGCCAGGATTCCTCTCATTTTGGCCAGTAGGAACGACCGGAGAGGAGAGCGGTAAAGCAGGCAGAGATGTAGTGGTGTGATGAGGGGAAGGGCTGAGCCGGGCAGGAGGGCCGATCTTAGGTCACCTGACTTGACCGCCTACCAAGCGTCACCGCAGCGGACGTGCAGGTGCACCGAGGAGAACAGCCGTCCCTCCGGGGTGGGACAGAAAGATCAGCAGCCCACGTGGCATCGTAGCAGGGGGCCAGGCCTGCGAAGCGCCTTACCATATATTCCACAGCACGTTCACGGCCTCATTGGCTATGCTCTCAACAGAATTTCCATTCCGATCTTTTTTTTCCTGTGACGACATCTCATTTGAATCCAGTCCAGCACTACACTGTAACCAAATATCATGATTAGCACCCTGGTTCAAAAGAATAATTAAACAAAAAGGCTAATGATAGTGATGAATCACAAAAATGAAACATCAAAATGACAGTGGTTCACAAGCCAAGCAAGTTCTCATAAGCAGTACTGTTCCCACAACCCTGCTCCCCTTTGACCAGAGATACAGACAAGAAAGGGTCCACAAGTCTTTGAACAAACTAGACATAAAGCATGTCACACTGAAATTAAAATTTAAAATCAATACCAAGTATTTTATCTAATATGATAAAGACAGTAAATAAAGTGAAGAAACACAACGCATAATAAAGGCTAACATCTATACAATTCCTTCTTTGTGCAAGGCACGAGTCTAAGCACTTCACGAACATTAAGTTATTTAATCCCCACCACAATCCTATGAAGTAGATGAGCTATTATCCCCAATCTCCCCGTACACGTAGGAAACCGAGGTACAGAGAGCTCGCTGAAGGTGTCGCTCTGGTATATGGTGAAGCTGGGATTCAGGCCCAGGCATTCCGGCTCCAAAGCAGGGGCTGTGAAATGCTCCGCAGTTCTGCCCCGCTGGTATGACCCCCCCGCCCCCAAAGCTGGGCTTCTCATCTTGGCACTACTGACATTTTGGACTGGGTGGCTTTCTGCTGTGGGGGGTGGGGGGGTGTCATGTGCACTGTAGGGTGTTTAGCAGCAGCCTTGGTCGCTACCCATTACATCCCAGTGGCAGCGCCTACCCCCCGGCTGTAACAATCAAAAACGGCTGCAGACTTTGCCAAATGTCTCTTGGTGGGCAAATCATTCCCCGTAGAGCCACTGCTTTAAAAGGGAACAAGACGGGTGCCTCTCATCGAAACTGGATCAGCTTTTCCAGAGCCTTTAGTGAATACCCCCCATCAGTACAGGACAGTGGATCAAGTACAGGCAGGCGGGGGGGAGGGCACGCCTTAGTCCTGAGCCACATCACGCAACCAAGCTGGCATGATAGTTAATCTGGGAACTTAATGTCACCTTCAAGGCAAATCCCTCATGTCCGTACTTCAGCTTCCTCATCTGTAAAATATGAATACTTTACAGATGCCAAGTGGACTGCTGTGAGGATATAACAGTACGTAAAACAGCACCGGCGCCCAAATAAGCAATCAATGATACTAATTATTTTCACTGCAGGAAGTGTAAAGTCTAAAGGAGTCTGTTTATAGTTTTAGGAAAGTCTTTTCCAACTAGCTTATAAATAAATGTAGCGGGGACAAACTAGAGACTGCTATCAACAACAAGGGATCCGTGTTTCCAGGAAAATAAAATTCCCACAGGATGTTTTGAGGAAAAACAAAATAACTAACACCAAAGAACTAAACAATCAAACAAACAAAGCCCCCCACTAAGTTTGCAGAGTGAAAGCTACATTTAACCACTGCCATCAGGAAACTGGAAAACTCCATACCTCTTTAAGCAGTGCGACCAGAGGGGTCATGATGTCCTTCGTCACCATGTCATCACAGACTTCAAAACCTCCACAAGCACTGAGGTTTCTACACGAGAGGTTTAAAATATATGTTACTTTCAGACCACGTTCGTCACAAAGCACTACGAAGCTCTCAAATCATCACAAAGCACTACGAAGCTCTCAAACTTATGTCTGTTTCTAACCCAGGCGAAGGTTTCCCAGGTGAAGCTGCTTATTACGGCCATGAGATGTTGCAGAACCAAGCCACCGGTTCCTACTTGCCCACGGTGAGGTAAGCAAATGACTGAGTCCTATAACTGACAAGTCCCCCGAGAGAGCACTGCGCGCGCGCGGGGTGTGTTCCCTAAGGAAGGGAGAGGGGAGAAGACCTTTCCTATTTAATATGAATATATCACAGCCTAATCTTATGTGAAAGGACCTTGTCTTGGAATCAAGACTTCGGGGGCAGCAAGGGTAAGGCTGCTGAGAACGACACCCCCAGAAGCGACCCAGACTCCCTATGTCAATGAATGAAAGAGAACAGAGAGCTAAGGACCACATCGCTAACTTCCACTCTGGCTCCCTCTACAGGCCGCTCGCTGCACAGCCACCGCTGGCCTTCTGAAAACGGCAATCAGATCACGGCACTCCTCCTTAGAATGAATAGGTCCTTTAGCCCTGGCCCATCTCTCCAGCCTCATCTCCCATTACACCCGCCCCACCCCTCTCACCTGCCCTTCTTTAACCACGACAAGCCCTCTGCTGCCTCCCTGCTTTGCTGTTGCTGTTCCCCGTCTGGTTCCTGCTCTTTCTCGTTTTGCCGTATCTGGCTCTCTCATCCCTCAGCTGTCATCAGAGCGCATCCGATTGAAAGTAACGCCTCACCCCTAACTCATCATCCTCTTGGTTTTCTCCACCGCACGTCTCACTCTCTACTGTCCGTTTTACCTGTTCATTGGTCTCGTCTGTCTCCCCAGCACGGTTTTGGGAAGGCAGGGATCTCGGCTGCCTTGCTCAATGTGCTGTCTGCTCAAACTCCCCTGCACCTAGGAGACGGCCACACAAATACTGGAAACGTTCCCTGAACCTCAGGGCCCTCTGGAAGATTTCTTGGAGAGGGGAGAATGTGCGGTAGGTCCTGAGGAACAGGCGCTGGGCAGGTGGCTGCTGCCAGGTGGACACACGGAAAGCGTGGCAGCCTCTGGAGTCTGAGTTCAGGTCCTCCCTCTACATGTCCCGCCCTGGTCACTGGATGGGGCTCCCTGGCTGCCTAGGACAGGTGCACTGAGTATGAAACGGGACAAGCGACGACGCGTGGCGCACAGGAGGAGCTGGCTGGACACAGTGCCACCCGGGCCCAAGGCACCGCCCCGGGCGCCCTCCCCACTCACCTGAGCGCGCCGGCAGCCGTCTCCCTCACCCCCAGGCTGGGGTCGAGCAGCAGCGGCCCAAGGCGGCGCACGGCGTCGCGGCGCGCCAGGTCCGGGAGCGCCGGCCGCTGCTGCACCAGCCGGGCCAGCCCCGCGCAGGCGCACTCGCGGACCTCGGCGCTCGGGTGCTGGAGCTGCGGACCGGAGCAGACTGTCACAGGGCGAGCAGAGCGCAGGCGCGCGAGGGGCTCCGCCGCAGGCCCGCGTTCCTCGCCCGGCCCGCCCCTCCGGGTCAGCGAGCCCTGGACCCACCTTTTCTAGCAGCTCCGCTGCCGGCCCGTCGTCGTCCTCTCGCTCAGTCCCGTTCTCCGCCGCTGCCAACTCGGCCTGACAGCCGCCCGTAGGGGAGAACTGCGGTCTCTTGAAGCGCTTCGTCCTGCTCTTGCCCATGGCAACGCGCGCTGGGGGGAAGACCGAGAGAAGAGGGCAACAGCAAAGTAGCGGAGGTTGCCCAGCTGGCGGTAGGGTCTGGCCGAGGGGGATGGCCCGTCCGGCTGCTCAGCTGAGCCGGCAGACTGCCGAGCCCGCGTGGCAAGCAATGCGCAGGCGCGCGGCGCTGCCGAGGAGGGTGCTGGCGGAAGGAGCGCGCAGGCGTAGAGGAGAAGGTGGGCGTGGCCAGGCCTGGCTGAGGGGCGGAGTCCTGTGGAATTTCCCTGGGAGGAGGAGGCCAGATTTTAATAGTAATTGGAAACGCACCTCCCACCAGGTGGTAGCGTTTATCAAGTTACTTAACCTCGCCAAACCTTTACTTTACATAATATTCAAATAGGATTATGGTTACCTAATTGCAAGGTTATTGTGAGGTTTAGATAAAATTATGTAAAGCACGTAACACCAAGCCTGACCTATAGTAGGTGCTCAAAAAATATTGTGTCCTTGGCACCTAGCACAACTCCTGTCATAGACAAAGGCCAGTTAATGTTTTAGAATGGACTCCCTTAAGAAGTTACTTAAATCTTCTTGCCTCACTTTCCTCATCAGTAAATTGGAGACACCAATAAAATATACCTAATGCCATCGTTAAAGGATTACATGTTGTTTGTAAGATGCTCTGAACAGAGACTGGAGCATAACAAGCACTACATAAATGTTTGGTTGAACTTTTCACTTAACAGATAATAAAAGGATTCTTTCACAAATATTTATTGAGCACCAGGTGCAGTGCTGGGCATTAGGATAAAATAATAACCAAGACAGATTTGGTCCCTGTCCTTTGTCCTTATGGAGTTTAAAGTTTAGTGAGGATGTGTTAAATATATAGTAAGTATACAAATAACTATTTGATTACAGTTGTGATAAGTGCTAAGAAGAAGGAAATGTACAGGAGACTCTTAGGTAGTCTTTATAATTGCACGTGTGTGTGTGTACTGAGCACCCAATAAATGCTCAGCTGTCAGGGCAACACGGGATGGAATAAAGTTCACTGCAAGGCCACCCTGCCATCAAGCAGTTGACTGTCTGGTAAGGGAAATGACATTAATTACTATAGTGTATTTTGAAAAACAATCACAGGGCTAGAGCTAAACCTGTACAGAAGCTCGAGCCTATTCAAGACCTAGTTTAGGTACAAAACTTGTAGCCCCAAATACGTCAGTTTTACTTCCTAGATCTTTTATGTGGCCTGTCTTCTGCCACCTCCCTAGTCCAAGCCTTCTCGGGTCTCCAAGTGGCCTTCTGGTCTTTCTCTACTCTGTCTATCCATAAGGCAGCTAGTGAATTTTTTCAAAAGGAATGTCCCTCCAATTTCTGCCATTACATTGACTCCCTTTGCTTAAAACCTTTCAGTAGGATAGGCTTTCCTTCCCCTTAGGATAAGATCAAAATCTTAGTTGGCTGCAGGGTTTCCTCCCAGCCCACACCTTCATCCCACCTTGCACCCTGCCAGTTAGACACCATCGGGAGAGCAAGACTCTTTTCTGCCTCCTGGCTTTACAGAAGCCCCAGTCCCCACCCCTGTCCTGGTGAAGGGAAGTCTCACCTCTGCAAGTGTCACTTCTTCATTCGTATCCTGTTTCCTTGCTTCAAAGCACAGCTCAGAATCAGTGACCATTGACCTATATCTGTGCATAGCTGTACACAGCGCTCGTACACCTGTGCTCACTGCCCAAGCTGGACACTAACCCCTGGGAGCACGAGACTGTGGCTGTTCTCACGTGTCACTGTATTCCCCACACTGGCCCCAACAGGCAGCAGGTTCTCCAGTGACCAGAGATCACCTGATGAGGAAAGAGTAGGGCATGGAATCTAGGCAGAACAGGATGAAAGAAAAACAGATTCCTGCCGTTTCTCTCACTGTGGGGATGAGGACCAAAAAATGGTTCAAAACCTTAGCTGCAGGAGAAGTTTGTGCTGTTTCATGAGTTACCCCTTCCTGTAGAAAAAACATTTCTGCAAAAATGAATGAACTTTATTAAGAGCTCTTCTTTGGACCACCTAAGATGTCGGTTTTAGGAGGAGCCTAGTGACCTTTTAACAATCTAGTAACCCTTAACCACTCATTTTAAAAAATTCTGTCAAGCAATGATCATCTAACCATCCGTTTTTCCTACAAATTATCTTTATCGAGAGGGAATTTTTGCACAGCAAACCATCAGTCATATGCTAAAAAATCTGTTTTTAAGAATGTGTGTTCTATGACGCAGACAAGACACACTACTATTTTTAGTGGAAAAAGGGGGAAAGGCAGAAGTTACAGACTCAACATGAAAGCATTCAGACAGCGTGTGTGAAGCTCGGATGAGACTCTTGTTTCTATGGTTTCGACAGGAAGTAAGAGCCACTTCAGCTGCTGCTGAAGGCAGAGACTGGCCCCGCCGAGTCTCTAAGAAATGCCAATCAACGGTCAGGTTAGAGAAGAGAGCCCCTCAAAGCCGCACTGGCCGCACCGCAAGCCTTCACACTTTCAGGGAGGGTGTCTGAGGTGTCTACGTCTGATGACCTAGAATCATTTGAGGTTCTTCAGTCATCAGAGACCAAATATCCTCTCTCTTGACACTTAAACCACTATTCAAAGTTTGATTAGTTCAAAATATAAACAGAATTTCCTCCTATTTCAACGGAGATGTTGACATTGGGTAAGGTTGTAACAGTGAGATCCACTTTTTTTTTTTAACTTTGGGATTTGGTTTAACTAATTTACTGAGCAGTGACTCTGAGGCCAAGCACTGTTTAAGAGCTTTACATGAATTAACATTTAACACTCAGTATAAACCCGGAAGATTGACAAATCCTATACAGCGTCAGACAGAAGTAGGTTTACAGATGTTTGCATAGAAAACAAAACAATAAAAAATAACAATATAAGAATACTGTGTTCTGTGTGCAACTGCAAACCTGCTTTTGCCCCACCCTATGTATTATCTACCTAGATTAGCCTTATGCCCAATGTACCAATGAGGAAATGAAGGCTACGGAACCGACCTCAAGTTGCAATTAGATTGGAGATTCAAATCCAGCCTCGTGCAGTCTGAACCCCCAACCACATCACAGTGACTCTTGAATTAAATCACACACCCATACAGCCTTTCCGTCTGAGTCCAGAGACTGGACTGGGACCTAAAGCCCTATGAAAATCTGAGACTGCCTGCCCCACCTGTAAAATTAGAGGACTGGACTCAATCAATAATTTCCTAATGGTGTGGAAACAGGTAGGAGAGATGGGGAAGAGGCTGACTTGGCGGTGACCCTTGGGCCTATTTCAAACAAGCAAAGATTTGCTTGGAAAATGAATTGTTCTGCTAAGAGTAAAGGTATGAAAAACCTTTAACAAAAGCTTCTTTCTCAGAGCTAATGGGCTCCAAGCAGCCCGGCACCAGGAAGTCTGTGAAATCTTCTCCAAATGTATGCAGTGTGTGTACATACACAGGCGTATTTTTTTTTAGGGGAGACCTGTTAAAATACTCAACGTAGCTGGCAACTCCAAAAAGGTCTAAGGACCGATCAAATTCATTGTTGGCTTTACACTCTCGGAGGAAGCTGGCAATGCAAGTTTGTAAAGCACTTTGAGAAAAACTGCACTTCCTGATTAGGAGCCAAGTGTTATTTAACAGTGAGCAACAAGACATAATAAAAGTTATAGCCTAATAAACTGGGCATGTATGAGTGCTACTTGAAATGTACTCTCCCGGACAGAGTTAGAGCAAAACATCTTATCTGGAACTGGACTGTATCTGAGACACACTGTATGTTTGTAAACATTTTCAGAGTTACAGACACAACAAACCAAGGTAAGCCCTGACTGGTGTGGCTCAGTGCGTTGAGCATCGTCTTGCAAACCAAAAGGTTACCAGTTTGATTCGCAGTCAGGGCATGTGCCTGGGTTGTGGGCCAGCTTCCTGGTTGGGGGCATGCAAGAGGCAACCCATCGATGTTTCTCTCCCTTTCTTTATCCTTTCCTTCCCCTCTCTCCAAAAATACATACATAAAATCTTTTTCTATGAGTTAAAAAAAAAAGGAAAAAGCCCAATCACTAATTATATATAAAGTATTTATTTTATGCACATATTTACCTACAAAATTTACAGAAAATAAAACAACACATATAGAATACCCTCTTAAGACTCTTAGGAACAGAGGGTTTTATTGCTACAGTTCAAAGAATAAAATTTTATACATGTGAAAGCCAAGATGAACACATTTACATTAAATGGTAGCCTAGTTAAAAATTTTCTGTCCTGTTATTGAATTTTCAGCTTTATGTCAAATGAAATTTAAAAGATTGCTCTTGAAATAATTTAAACATTTTCAAAATTTTCTTCTAATAAACAGGTAAAAGGCACCTCCAGTTCTTTAAAATATTTACAGCAATCCCAACAGTTTAATTTTTAGGGCTGCTATCGTACACGCGGCTAATACGCATACACAGTATGTCAGTAACTCTCTCTCCAAACAGCGAGAGCTGCGGACTCCGGCGCGGCCGGCCGCCCCTCGCACCGCAGTGCACGGCTAGGCACACTGTGCGCCACCGGGTGGCGGCGCGTCAACCACAGCATAAAACCCACTCATCTAAAACAGCAACTGTCAAACTCCCAGACAGTACGCGATTTATAAATAAACCGGTATATTCAGGAGCCTCTGGAGTGTTCTTAAAATTATTAAAAAATATAAAGTAAATTTAGCATTAAATGAGAACAAGAAACAGGAAAATATCACCACAATAATGGCTAAGTTCACTATCTGGTTCAACAAAAAACTGTTTCTCAAAACATCTGTGATTTCTTACAACTTAATGAGGAGCATTCCTCAGTGTAAGCTCCGCCCGATGGTTTCCTGCATTGTGACCGAGAGAGGAGGGCAGCGAAAGGCACAGCTACACGTGACAGCTGGTTTTGGAGAGCCGGGGACACGGCGAGCTGAGATTCCTGAAACACTGGTGCAGGGGAACCGGGTCCACGTCACATTTTCCTCTTTGACACTGGCATTGATTTGCTATTTACAGTAGTTTGCAAAAATACATTATAAAAACTGGATGAGGTTCTGTTTCTAAGATTAACTTAGTAACATACATACATACTTCATCTCCAGCAACCTTTGCGGGGTCCGAAGTACTAAAGTGACACTAATACTGATACACAGATAATCCAAGGTACCAAAGCACTGACACTGTGAGCCATCATCACCACGACACCGGGGAATATTGCACGCTTCCTGCCAGCTGTTGCTGTGGCCATCACATATCCAACTGCGGAAGGAGCCCTACGGCTTCTTGCTGTACCGTTGATCTGAACAAAGGCTCTTCTGGGTCCCGTAACGACGCCCGAGGACTGTCACTGAACGTGAGGCCTAGGTTTCAGAATCAATTTTCCTGTCTGTAAAAGTGAATGACAGACGTTTTTAAATATACAGTTCTATTATAAACATCACCACTTATCTACAAATCTTAAAGGGCACTCAAAGGGCATCAGAGTACCTATCTATATTTACTCAAAATGAAACAATTAATAGTTGCATTTTCAAAGTTTTCTTTGTGCAGAGTGTTCTTCCAAAATCTTTATCACTTTATAACGCGCGCGCGCGCGCACACACACACACACACACACACACACACACTGGCTACCTTAAAATCGGTCAATCCATCCCCTGGATAATAAAATCCCTGCTTGTAGAGACTAACCATGCTCCTTAGCAAGCAAAGTATATAAAACATGAATAAAACTATGCATCTGGCAAAAGCACTTCTCCTTTCCCACCAGCAATTTTAATTTCCTCAGGCCACCGCGTAAGATGACGGCTGGAGCAGACACCCCAGCTGCTGGTGTCCAGTGTGAGCGAATACAGCTCTTCTGTAGGGCAGCTGTCACATTCGTCAAAAGGGAAACCACACAATCCAAACAATTCCATTTGTAGGCACTTATCTGAAGAACACTGAATGCGAGGGCAAAGGCATAAACCTAAGTGTTATTAATGCTTTTATTCAACATTTATCGAAGTGCCTACTGGGTACCAGGCCTTGTGTGAAATGCTAGAGATCCAGTAATGAACCAGACCAAGTCCCTTGTTCTCACGGAGTTAGGCTCTAGTGGAGAACATGCAACTTATACAACATGGCAAGTGGGGGAACCACATGTCCACTAGGGTTCAAATTAGGGTGCAGCCATAAAACGGGACACTATGTAACTAAAAGAACGGAAGACCTGAACTGAGGTAACGCCAGGAAAAAGGGAAGTCTCGGGCCTTGCACATGATTAATTTAACACCCAATAAAGGAATTATGAAATAATTTCATACTAAAATGAAGTAATTCGTTTTTTATGGATTACACTGTGTAAACTATAAAAATCTGGCATTTCTAACATGCTGAAATATTTGAGGGTAAAATACATTTGGATTTGTTTCAAAAAACCCAACGTGGGGAGCATGGGCAGGGCACACGTGAAACAAGACAGCCATGAGCTCGTCATTGCTGACACTGGCCAGTGCGCACGTGGGGGTTCAGTATGTTCTTCTCTTCACTGTTTTACGTTTGGACATTTCCATAATTAACACTTAAAAAAAATGGTGCCACACTGGACATGCCGGTAATTTACTTTTTGCACCTACTGTTACGTCTAGGAGGCTCCCCACATCCACAATCTCAAGATGAACTTCCGGTTTCCTACCCTGCAACTAGAGTGCAGCCGACCCTCCCACCCCTGGGGGGAGACCTAAGAATTCTCTCCGCGTTGTTACTTCTGCAGAGGACGCTGCAGTAACCACCTGCCCTTGTCTCCTGCACATGCCCCGACTAGGTAGAACCACAATCTAGTTTGCGTGTCCTGACTGGGAACTGCACCTGCAACCTTCTGGGGGGTGTATGTGTGGGGGGAGGGACAATGACCCTCCAACCGACTAAGCCACACGGCAAGGGCATGCATGTCTTTTCAAATATATTTAAAACTTTATGTGGAACTTCATTTTTTTAATTGATGTGAGGCAGAGATCAAAGTTCATTTTTTCCAAATTTGGCCCTGACCAGCGTGGCTCAGTTGGTTGGGTGTCCTCTGTAAAGCAAAAGGTCACTGGTTCAACTCCCAGTCAGGGCACATGCCTGGGTTGCAGTGCAGGTCCCTAGTTGGGGCATGTACGAGAGGCAGCCAATCACATCGATGTTTCTCCCCGCGCCCCCGTTTCTCCCTACTTTCCCTCATCTTCAATACAGACTTTTAAAAGTTTTTTTCCCAAAGAGCCAACTGTCTCAATGCTACTGAATAGACCATTTCTTCCTGTTTGATTTGAAATACCTTCCTCACCCTCTAATTTTTTTTTAAAGATTTTATTTTTAGAGAGAGGAGAAAGGAGGGAGAAAGAGAGGGAGAGAAACATGATATGTAAAAGAAACAGCAATCAGTTGCCTCTTTCATGCCCCGAGCCAGGAACCCAGCCTGCAACCCGGGCTTGTGCCCTGACTGGGAACTGAACCAGTGGCCTTTCGGTCCTCAGGCTGGCACTCAATCCACTGAGCCGCACCAGCCAGGGCCTTATCCTTTAATTTTTAAAAGATCAAACTGCCACCCTGGCTGGTGCGGCTCAGTGGACTGAGTGCTGGCCTGCAAACCAAAGGGTCCCTGGTTCAATTCCTAGTCGGGGCACAGGCCTGGGTTGTGGGCCAGGTCCCCTGTGGGGGTTGTGCGAGAGGCAACCACACGTTGGTGTTTCTCTCCCTCCCTCCCTCCCTTCTCCTCTCCCTAAAAATAAATTAAAAAAAAAAAAAAAGAAAGAAAGAAAAAGATCCAACTGCCTAATCTTTATTCTCTTCCACTGATCCAGTTGTCTTCCTGCCCTAATACTATTTTCTTGCTCTTTATTCTAATTTCCTGTACTGAGTAGGTATTATTTCTTTAATAGTTTCTCAAATTTGAAGTAGGAACACTTTCATAACACATCAGTACAGGAGGTTCACATGTCCATAGTCCGTCAGTTAATCTAGGGTTCTATTTATGATCCTACATACAGAAAATACCATCGGAAAAATCATAAGTTTACAAAACCAACAACCACTGAGCCATTCGGGTCAGTAATGGTATTTCACTGAGTCTAAGACAGCTTCAATTATGAGGGGCATCATTATTTTGCTTCATTAAGAAAAATCAAACTGTCAACTCTACCAATTGTAAGATACCAGATTATTAGATGCACCTCTATCTCAGAGTTCTTAAAATATTTTTTAAAAATGTATCTTAGAATCAATGTGATAAGGAATATTCCCACTATTAATTCCAGGGAGACATTTATTTTTAATAAAATGCCCGTTTTCCATAAGCCAAACGTCTCAGTCCTCTCACACATCTGTACTTTCCAAATGAAGAAATACTTACATCGTCACAAGACATATTGTACTCTGCTAATACAGTGCGACATCGGGCAGCTATACTGAGTAAATGTGGTCAAAGGAAAATTTATCATTTCAAGAACAAGCTTTTAAGAACACCTAGTTCATGAGAAGGTGCTTCGCCTTAGTTCAGAGAGTAAAACTCAATCTGTGTAAAGGATACATTGATGGAGCAACGACCCTCTTGTGTATTCCAGCGAAGAACAAGCCTATTAGAGTGATACAACTAATGGTGAAAAATGGATGATTCCATAATGATGTGAAGAAGGACACCTGTAACAGAATTTGAAATATAAAAATGTTAAAATCTTAGAACAGTACAGATTCCTACCTCTCCACTCATGCATACATATATGTAACATGTTAATCATCTAAAATATGAGGATTTGAAGACTTCAATACTGCTGACTCTGTTTTGCTATGCTATAAAAACAAAAATACATAATATACATTTTATATTTTCAATGTAGCAAAACAATATAGCAATATTCCCTCCATTCATTCTAAATACCTGAGCCAGTACAAATTCATTCCTATAATCAAAAACCACTCTACCAAAAATATTCACGGAACCCCTGCTAGTGAGAAGCAGCTTAAGAAGCACAAGACTCTAGTTCCAGGAGGGCAGGGACACTGTCTTGTGCACGGCTTCTCCCAGCACCTGAAAAAGCACGTGGCCAACACAGGTGCTCAGTCAGCCTGCTGAATGAAGACGAGGCCTCTGATCTCCATGGAAACACATGGCGGACGTGATCAGTTACCTGCTGTTACAGCGCTCCCTTCAGAGAGCCGGGCCCACCCTGCCACACACACCCTGGCCCCAGTCCCATCGTCTCCTGCCACGCTGGCACACCTGCCTCCGTCCTCCTCCTCTCCTCTCCACCGGACTCCCTCCTGCACATCCTAATGAGACTCAACGCCCGCACCCCGCTCCTCTCTGCAGAAGCACTGACGGGTGTGGCGTTGGAGCAACTGTGCTTCAGATGGCCACTGGACACCCGAGCTGGGAGAGGCGATGAGCAGCTACCCATAAGGAACTAGAGTTCGGAAGGGAAAAAGGTCGCATCCCATCTGGGACAACCCGGGGAGAGCAGGAAACAGGGCAACACACAACACACTGCGAGTGTGGAGACGGGCAGGCGGTTAGGGCCAGGGCCGGAACCAGAGCAGGCGCTGGGGCCAGGCTACCGGGGGCCAGGAAAGTAGACGGAAGGAGAGAAGACAAATATTTAGTCTGGAGAAAGAAATCCAGACTAGTGGACTAGTAACCAGGCAGGAGCGACGGAGTCACGCTGAGGGCCTCTGCATCCCCCGTCACACCACGAGGTGCGTACGTGTCTCAGGGCAGAGACTAAACCTACAAAAAAGCCACCTGCTAGACGGCCTAGCACAATCCTGGTTAAATAGGTTTGTCAGATGTAGAAAACAGGCTAGAAACATCAGGGGGAAGAAGCTCCCAGAAGGATGAGCTCCTGAAGAAAGATGAACCACCCAGGGGCATGTCTTCTGAAAACCTCTGAGGACAGTGCCATTGCCAGGGGCCAGCTGTTGCAGGTGGCCTGCACAATGCCAGTGCGGACAGCTTTACGCTTGAATTTTAATCGGATCAGCCAGCGCCGGCCCGCTTTCCTCCGCGGCAACCGCCGGCGGCTCCACACAGCGGCCTGCCCCTCAGCTGCGCGTCCCGGTGCCTGCCAGCTCACCGCTCCCCTCCCCCGGGGCTTCCCAGCTCACCACTGGCTTTGCAGTTTGCGTCTCCTGCTACAGACACAATTGCTATTTAAAACCCTTGTCAGGTTGGAGGTTATTAAATACTAAAATATACAGAGCCAACCCTTAGGCTAATCGTTATATTCTCTCCTAATTTAGAAAACCGTATTAACTACAGAGTTTTGGGCCTATTTCAAATTACATTTAATTCTGTGATTTATTAAGATCTCAACGAGCTGAAATCAGCTTATATTTTTCCCAATTAGAAGTCAGATTCATTTCCCAAGACAGACCTTTTTCAATCTTCTTGCCAGCTTCCTTCACTCTTCCCCTAAAGATGGGCACCAAGCGCAGCCTCATGATCTGGTTTTTATAAATGAACACACAGGAGGGTTTCCTATCTGCCACAAAACCCCTCTATTAACAAGAAATTCCATCACCGACCTCCCCTGCCCCCTCCATCTCGACCCCGTGGGGCGAGCCGGGGAGGCTGCCCACTAACCACACCCTTGGTGGTGTGAGCTGTCGCATGGCCCGCTGTCAAAAGCCTTCCTCTCGGGGTGCTCGCCCGTGTAACCAGAAAGGTCACAGAGAAAGCTACGGAAAGTGGCCTCACCTAACGCCAGTCTATAAGGGGGAAGTGGGATTAAGATTTGTGAAAATCACATCATTATTACCTAAATAAATCTGCACCGTGATAAACTTCACTCATAAACTGGAGACTCCTGCTTCTCTAATAAAAAAGCACGAGTCTGAAATGAAGACCCAAGTTAGTAGAAAGAGGCAGAAGTTGAGAAACAAGCTATCAGCTTTCATCAAAGCACGCTTCAAGAAATAACATTATGAACTCCGTTATTGCATTCGGTATAGGGATATTCCGGACCGTGCCCAATGGGAGATCTCTCAGTGTTTCCTATATTAAACTTCAGGCAGGAAGTATTTTTAGAGGTAAACGCTGAGGAAATAAAAGCTTTGCAAGCTTAAGAAACTTACACATACGTTCTCTTCAGAGACCATGGAAACTGCGGAGTTGGCTGCAACTTTACTGATCAGGTAACCCAGAGTCTAAGTGACAACTCCATTCCAGCAACTGTGCTGGCCCATGCGGCTGGTACTATCCGGGACCTGGGTTCCTTCCTGGTTTTGACCTGCCGGTTAAATTGGTGTTTCCCTCGTCTTGACTTTTTATGACATTCATGCTTTGCTATTTTATCATATATATTTCCTGCAAAGTCGCCTCAAATGCTTTATGGGATGAGGAACAGTATTAGCAAAGAGAGCTCCCAGAACAAAGTGCTGTTTGCCAATCTTTAAAAGCTGGCACTGAGGCCGCTAAGCGAACAAAGCAGAACCAAGACCATGTCGACAGGGACAAACGAGACCTGGAGAGCCGCACACAAGTTCAGAGTGTGCGAGTTACAGAAGTGGAGGAGTATTTCTTAGGCTTTTTCCCCTGTAAAGATACTTAATTCATAATTGCCAGCCAAAGTTTTTCTTAAGCAAATTAATGTGAGGCACAGTTTTAATATGATGATTAATATCACTATCAGTAGTAACAGATAGCAGCATCTGAATGACACTTGACAACAAACAAAGCACTGCTATAGCCAGTATTTCATGTAATCGATCAAAGATTTTAAATCAAAACCTCTACCTTTTGTGTCTCGGGATCTATTAACCAGTTCCAGGCTCCAGTAGCTGTACAGACAGATACCACTATAAGAAGCACTGATGAAAGATAAACACAAAATTAGTAAGGAATAAGCTCGCAACGCCCGACGCTGCCACCACCAGTCACTGATGAACGACAGCCAAAGGAAGTGGCCCTTTATTAAACGGAAAACGCCCCGACCCAGGAATTAGGAGGCTCGCCGTACACCTTGGGGAGTAAGGTTTATTCTCCTAAACTTTGTGACCTTTAGTAATTGAGGATGATACTGTTCCCTTTACTACTTTAGTCAGAAATTATGAAGTTAATGAAATTAAAAGCAGTAAAAACCAAGGTGGTAAAACTTTAGGATTCTATGTTAGCAACTTTCAATGTGCTTTGTGCTGATTTTGCATTTTGTAAATTCCAATTAAAAAAAAAAAGTTTTCATTTTCTAATGTAAGCAAACCAAAGACTCTGTTCTGAAGGCCCTGGGCATCCTGACTGAAGGATGTGCCCCGCAGACACCGCCCGCGGCCCCGGAACCAGAGGTCCCTGTTAGACCTGGCAGACGCGGCACACCAGCCAGAGCAGGGTTTTCTTTAAGGGGCCTAAACGAAGGTCAGGAAGAAATTATTGACAGTAAATCCCAGATAAGGTTTCTCTCTCCCCACTAAGCTTGAATTATTTTTAAAAGTTCTGAACAAATTATAAATAAAACAAGAATGGCATTACTAAAAAAATAATAAAAAGGCATCAAGACTGAGTTAATATTCTGATCAAGAGAGTTGCTGTCTTTCAGTTGGGATGCACAATTTTAAAATGTAGAGCTCAAGCTCCTAAGAGCAATAGAAATATAGCAAAATCTTAATTATATTGAATTCCTGGTGATTTACTTTTAGAAGAGGCAAATCACAGAAAAACAATCTCATGCTAGATATTGAATAACAATCAAAATTTCAAAATTAAGTTCTCAGATCAGAGCAAATTAAACTCAATTCCCCATAATTCTCTATTTCCAATTAAAAAAATGCTGTTGTGTTTTTTTTTAAATAAAGCAAAAGCAAACCCACTAGGGGGACCTCATACACCTACTTTTACACACATGCATTAACCATGCTCATGTCATTTACATGTAAGCACTGAGACCCACCAGAAAAAGTAAAATATGTTCATTATATCACATTTTATAAGACAGGACAGCTTCATACTCATTTTAAAGGATTCTCAAGGAGCAGTGAAACAAGTGGGACAATTCCAGATAAACCAGAGAACCTGAGAAAAATCACTACTTGTGAATTCTGACCAGTCAGAATTCTCACAGCATATGATTCAAACTTTGCAAACAGATCTAATGAAAATCACAAGGGGAAATCTTGAGAGAAAAAGACCCAGAGCTTCACGGACGGTCTTCTGTCCCACAAGCCAGGTCACACGCGAAATGAAGCCCGTCCCTGACTTGTGCTGAGGCGCTTCTTCCTTGGCAGGATTAGGTTTCAACACTGAACATCTGAGAAATTCAGACTGGGCTCAACAAACGTTAGCAAAGCATTTTGTTTGCTGACATCAAAATTTAAATCACCTAAAAGTAATTTTATCACCTTAGAAAGTACAGGGTGGGGCAAAAGTAGGTTTACTGTTGTTTGTATGGAAGATAATACAATAACAAATAATAACACAGGAATAAACTGTGTTTCATGCACTCACAACTATTAACCGACTCTGCCCCACCCTGTGTATGTTAAATATGATTTTCCTTCACAAAACTTTATGTCAATAGTTTGTAGGCAAATTGTAAAACTGCTAAATAGGCTCCTGAAAATTGTCATGTGTTATCAAGTTTGTAATATTTAATAAAGAAGTATCTATTTTAATGGAAAAATAAAAATTCAACAATAAAGATTGTTTTTTAGGGTTGCCAGTTCCTTTTCTTAAAAATTTCTTTATAATGCATTGTTTTACAATGTTAAATAAACTTAAAAACTGTCAAAACAAAAGGAAATCTATGGTTTAGTAAAACAAGTGTTTGTTACTCAAGTTATACATAAAAGCAAATCATTGCTAGACAGGGATAAAAGTACCAACTGTCTGTTTATGTCCCCTTAAAAAACATTCAGGCACTTACTTCTCCAACGTCCAGTGGCAGGTTGCAAACAATGAATATATTCAGTAAGTCTCCTCTCGAAAGCCTTGAGATCTAGGTAAAAAGATTTCAACCTCCTAATTAGTGACTCTTACTTGTTTAAATCTATTAAGATGAAATTTAAGATACTCTAACTGCTTCAGGTCTTACACACCAACTTACATGTATCACTGCACTGCTTACTTCGTTTACTATGACAGCTTTAAGCACTTGACAAAAACATTAGGTTTCTTTAATTCCAATTTCACATATAAGGAAACTGGCTGGTTCACTTTTAGAAGCTTCCAGTAAAATGGTATGTGGAAAAGCAGCAGCAGCCTCAAGCCGGAGCCAAAAGCTAGAAATTTGGGGGTTGCAAATAAAAGGATCAAAATCAGGTCCAGTCTTAATTCTGTTGGAACCAAGAACTTTCTATGAGACAGAACAACGTATTAACATCCGGTCTTCCACGTCTACCGGAACGCAGTTACCCGATTCCGATTAATACTTAATTAACAGCTACGCTTTCCGCCTGGTCTTACTGGACATCTGACCTGCTAACGGGTCGGTGGGAAAAAGACAGTCCCCTTTCGTCCCTCCAAGGGGGTGAGAGGAGATCTTGGCTCTATGCACGCCCCGACGCCTCCTAAAAGTCAGAGGCGTCCAAGGTGCCCCTGCAAACGAGCGCTTTTTGAACTTTAAAAAGGAGATCAAGAGGCAATCAATCTCTTACCCCGGCAGTTTCCAGAAACCATGGCAGGAATTAGGGAAACAGATCACGGGGTTACAGGAATAAAGAGAATTAACATGCTACAGTGCACGAAGTGCGGATGTTTATTAAAAAGTCAAAAACAGCCTTGAAGAAGACCTCCACGGTAGAAACCGGAGGGGGCGGGGGTGGTGAGGGCAGCGGACACGACGGCCCGCAGCGTCCGCGCGCGCCTCAACCCGCGTCCGGCTGGGTCGGGCTGCCCCTGGGCCCCTGGGCCCCTGGGCCCCTGGGCCGGCTCCCTCGCCCCCCAAAATCCGGACCGCGTTAGTCCACCCAACGAGGCCTCCTGTTCCCGGGGCGGGGTCTTGGCGACTCTGGCCCCTCCGGCTTCCGGGATGAGCCAGGGACACGCCCGGGCGACTCACCTACCTTCTGCCTGCTCCAGCGAGTTCATGTCGGCCGGCAGCTCCGGTCACGGACGCGGTCCCGTCCACATCGCAGCTCCGCGGCCTCCGCCCGGCCCGCAACGCTAACTCCCACCTCTAACCGCTCCTCTCTGCCCCTCTCCGTCGCACCGCCCATTGCCTAGGCCCGCTACGCTCATAGGGCACCTCTGTCGCACCTCACAACTAAGGCGGTTTTCTATTGGTTAACTCCTGTACTGGCCTCGGGGCCCAGCGTTGGACGGTCTGCCGGAGGCGCCAAGAACTGCCGGTGTCCCGGCTGATAGGACGCTAGCGCCGCCGCCTGCCCCGGGGAGGAACTGCAGCCTATCCGAGCCAGTTGGTTCTTTCGGACGTTCCCAGTTTCCGGCTTCATTCTTTTATTCCTCAAATATTTATTGAGCGCCCACTACCTTCCAGGCAGCGTTCTAGTCGCTGAAACGGGATACAGAAATCAACGAGCTTGCCCTCCCTTTAGGACTCAAGGGGAAATATGGACAAAACTAGCTAGAACCCAAAATAATGGAATTCTTTACCTATAATACCTCTTTCCTGGGTATCCAACCTCTTAGACAAGCATGTCTCCCTTCAATACTTTTTTCTCACGACAACTTTCATAAATCACAAAGGAGGCAAACAAAGCACCCCAATACGTAGAACTCTTAAAAAGTCTGTAAGGCTTCGACTGCATTTCTATTTGATTAAATGTTCTCTTGCGTATTTCCCTGTGGTCATTCATTCACGCAAGAACTGTTTACTACATGCCGTGGTAGGCGCTGAATCAGGGATATCATTATGAGCAAGATAGGCAAGATTCCTGATCTCAAAGTGGAAGGGTCAAAGTGGAAGGGTTAACAGCAGGCTATAAAACATGGAACTAAGATTCGTTTCAGATAAGGACAGTAGTTTTATGAAGGTGGGAACAGGGTAATAAACAAAGTGAGATAAAGGAGGGTGGCAGGAGCCAGAGCTCAGGGGGTGGGGCATTTTAGTTGAGATCCCCAAGATGTATGAGAAGAAACTAGCTATGCAAAGATGAGGGCTATGGAAGTTCCAAGCAGCACTTTGGAAAGTTCCCATCTAGGGAGACTTCCTCTGGATCAAAACCGTTTTCCGAACATTATCCCATTGAATCCTCTGTGGAGATTATTTTTTAAACTGTGGTCAAAACCCCTGAGAGGGTCATGAAATCTAGCTAATGAACCATGACTTTTTTTTTTTAATGAACTAAAGCAAAATAAAAAATATCGGCATCATGGGAAGTCAGCGTTAAGTATTGTTTTATGATCTTTCCTTTGATTGTGTGCGCACGCCTGCTGGGTTCTGATCTTAATATAAAGCATATACCTGAGTGTTCTGGTAAAAGGAAGAAAGAAAAGAAAGAAAGAAAGAAAGAAAGAAAGAAAGAAAGAAAGAAAGAAAGAAAGAAAGAAAGAAAGGAAGGAAGGAAGAAAGAGAGAGAGGGAGGGAGGGAGGGAGGGAGGAAGGAAGGAAGGAAGGAAGGAAGGAAGGAAGGAAGGAAGGAAGGAAGGAAGGAAGGAAAGAAAGAAAGGAAAGAAAGAAAGAAAGGGAAAAGAAAGGAAGAAACTGTTTGAAAGCCACCAAGGTAGCTATTAGTAGGCTTGTTGTACAACTGAGAAAAGTAAAAATGAGTTTGCCCAGGTCTTGCAATTATTGGCATAACCTGGATTGAAGCTCCAAGTAAAGTATCCCCCTGACTTCTCGCTCAATGTTCCGGTCCTCCATCTCCAAGTCTTACTCCTCGCATTTCCCTTTGGCATCCAGAAGTGCTTAGAGAGAGGCCAGTGAACATCTGTTATAGGGCAGGCTCTCCCGGGCTATCTCCTGGGGAGGTGAGGAATGAGACAGGCTGATGAATGGAACATTGGGGAGCATTGTGGTAAGTGGGAGCTTGGTTAACTTGCCTTCAGAAGAGATAGTTCTGCTTAGTGCTGGGCTTTTGTTTGCCTGATGGGGGTGCAAGTTTCTAGCAAGAGCCTTGGGCGGCAGAGGGAAGAATAAGGAGCACCACCTGGCGCTCACTTTCCAGCTCTCCTTTTCAGCTGTGCAGATCAATGCCAAACACGCCGTTGAAAGGGTGCACATAATTCACTGGTCAGTGGCATTGATGCATATGGGTCATGGGCGTTGGGGGACAGTCAGGGAGGGGGAGAGGGAAATAGGGCCATATGGTCAGAAGAAATTTGGAACCTGAAGAGATGGGGAGACCAAAGGAGGTAGATTTGTGGACACATCCTTTCAGAGAGGTTCGGCAAGGAAAAGGTAGTCAATGAGTATTTGAGGACTGCATGTTCCAGGCACTGGCATAAGAGCTGAGAATGCAAAAATCTTTCACTCTCGCCCTCTGTAAGGGTAGAGTTTGGTGTAAAAATGAAAGATTCTTAAAACACCCGTGATGTGATAAAGATCTGTGTCAACAAGGAATATCCAATGCAATAGCTAAGTTCTTTCTGTTTTACTAGGGGGCCTGGTACTCCACCTTTTATAGTTCATGAGCATTATTGCCCCTTTAAACCCCATAACAACAGCTCTATGAGCCAAAGGGTGTTATTAAACCCAATTTCAGCCCTGGTCGGTGTGACTCAGTGGATTGAATGCCGGTCTGTGAACTAAAAGGTCGCCGGTTCCATTCCCAGTCTGGGCACACGCCTGGGTTGTGGGCCAGGTCCCCAGTTGGGGGCGTTTGAGAGGCAACCAATCAATGTGTCCCACATCGATGTTTCTCTCCCTCTCTTTCTCCCTTCTTTTCTCTCTCTCTATAAATAAATAAATAAATAAATAAAATCTTTAAACTCAATTTCAGAGATGAGTTTATAGATGAGCTGATCAACCCCAAACCCTGTAGCTGAAGTTATTATTGACTGTCTCTCTCTCCACACAGTATATCAGGTTAGCTAGCGAATTCTGTTGGCTCTACCCTCAACATATAGTGAAAACTTTATCACTTCTCAGCACCTCCCCTGCTACCACTCTGGGCCATCCTATCAGCTGGATTTCCTGCAGCGGCCTCCAACTAGTCTGCTTCCACCCTTGTCCCAAACAAGCTTTGTAAAACACTGAAAGATCACATTCCTCTTGTGCCCAGAACTTTCCAGCGGCTCCTTAAAGCAACTACAATAGCGACTTTCATACCATTTTCATGGTTATACCTTCTAAAATATGGTTTTTTTACAAATTATATGCCTCCTTTCATGTTTTTAAAGTTACATCTGAAATTGTCATCGTGGGTTTGAATACTTGTAAAAAAAGGTGTAATTCCTGGCATATTGCAGACATTGACATTTGGAAACAAATTGTTCTATCACTTTTTAAAATGTATTCAATGGAACCTAACTAAGTACCACGCCAGTTAGACACTCACCATCATCCCTTTAAAAATATGTGAATGTCTCTATGAATCTAAACACAAAACCCTCAAAAATATTAGCAAATCGAATCCAGCAACATATAAAAAGGATTACACAACATGATGAAGTGTGATTTATCCCAGGAATGCAAAGTTGGTTGGGCAAACAAAACATGAATTAATGGAGTATATCATATCCACAGAATAAAGAACAAAAACCACGTGGTGTGATGAGGACGTGGAGAAATCGGAGCGCTTGCGCGTTGCCAGGAGGAACGGTGCCGCTGCTGTGGGAGACAGTACGGCGGTTACTCAAAAAATTGAAAATAGAGCTATTGTAGGATCCAGCAACTCCACTTCTGGGTATATACACCAAACAAATCAAAAGCAAGGTCTTGAGGATATATTTATACACCCATGTTCATCACAGCATTATTCACAACAGCCAAAAGGTTGGTGTCTACTGATGGATGAGTGGACAAAGTGTGAGATACACATCTCATTCCACCTTAAAAAGGAAGGGAATTCTGACACATGCTGCAACATGGATGAGCCTCGAGGACATTCTGCTACATGAAATATGCCAGAAACAAAAGGACAAACACCTTTGATTACACTTACATGAGATACCTAGACTCGTCCGATTCACAGAAATGGAAAGTAGAACAGCGGTTGCCAGGGCTGGGGGCCAGGGCGGGGGCGTTGCTGTTTAATGGGGACAGTTTCAGTTTTACAAGGTGAAAAGAGATGGGTGGTTGCACAACCTATGGCCCCTGAACTGCACAGATAAAAATGGCTGAGATGGTAATATTATCTGTATCTTGCCAAGATTTTTAAATGTTTTAAAAATTGTATACTAAACACTGGCCAGTGTGGCTCAGTTGGTTGGAGTGTCTTTCCATAAACTGAAAGGTCACAGTTTTGATTCCTGGTCAGGGCGCATGTCTAGGTTGTGGGTCTGCTCCTTGGGGTCAGGCACATCTGAGAGGCAACCAATTGGTATCTCTCTCTCTCTCTCTCTCTCTCGCTCTCTCTCTCTCGCTCTCTCTCTCTTCCCCTCCCTCTAAAATCAATAAGCATGTCCCCTGGTGAGGAGAAGGAAAATTGTATAACAACCTCTCATTAAAAATATTTTTATTGCTCTCTCACTAGATGAAGGCCTCCTCAGCTCTGCGGAAATGTCCTCTCTTGCACAAGGATTCTCAGTTGGCCCTGAGATCCTCTCACCTTTGCAGTTTCTGGAAAATATATCAGAAAGGCTTTATGAAGACTTGTCACATGAGAACTAATTTGACCTGATCCTCCTTCATTTAGAGGTAATTTCTTTAACCCAACATACTCAGAAACAGTTGGGGAAATTGAAATGTTGGTAATTAAATGCATCTTTCCCAATATGTTTTGAAAAATAAAAAAGCTTTTTATCTTACTATGTACTTCACATATATTTTCATCAAAAGCCAGAAGGAGCTGATTTAGTTAATTTGGTTTGTAATCACCATCTACTCTCATTGGCGAAGCCAGTCCTTATTTTCAAACTACAGGAGCATTTCTGTTAGAGACCTTCCTTTGTCAATGCAAATTCCCCTTGAAAGTCAACTGGTGCCCAAATTGCTTGTGTCCAAAGCAGCACTCTGCTTTTTTTTTTTTTTTTAATTGATTTGTGTGTGTGAGAGAGAGAGAGAGAGAGAGAGATCGAGATCGATTTGTTGTTCCACTATTTAAGCATTCATTGGTTTATTCTCGGATGTGCCCTGATC